TACCCAACTAAATAATGAAAAAAATTAAAGTATCAAAAAGGGTTTTTGCGGATATTATAGTAATTTTATTAATTGAAATCATGAGTCAATTGAAGTGAGATCACCATGGAAAACTTGGAAGCACTGGAGGGCCGTTTCGTCCTACTATAGGACACCTCAGTGACAGTGCGCAACCACGATCGCGACTCGCGAGATTCGAACCCAGGGTCTATCAGTCTCGCGCACGAGCTCTTAAGCACTAGACCATTGAGCCAGCCGGCATCCAACACTGATGTTATTCAACTATTTAAATCGAAGATGGTAAACTGGGTTTCGAACCCTAATCTGTTGATTGGTTGATTGATTTGAAGTAGGCGCCCATAAGAGTACTAAATTTATATCATCCAACTTAAAAGAATGTCATATATATATCATAGATTCTTGCCTTATTAGGTATATTGATCATTTAAAAGTACATATATACAATCATAGAAAAATGTATAATGCAAAAATAAAACTTACTTTTTCCCCTTTATCTACTTTAAAATTAATTGATTTTAAAGCTAAATTTAATTCAGATCGATATTTTGTACCATAATTAATAAATTCAATGATACCTTCAGGCCAATTACTTGGTAAATAACTACAATCTAATTCCCATGGTGCCTAATTTTAAACAAAACAGATACATATATACATACATAAGACTCATTAAATGATTTAACAATTAATGAATAAAAAAAAATATTGGACAAATAATTCATTTCTTTTTTTTATTGAGATCATGAACCGATTGATGTTAGACCACCATTGAAAACCTGGAAGTACTGAACGGCCGTTTCGTCCTATTACTGTGGGACTCCTCGGCAGTGCGCATCCATGATCCCGCTCGCGGGATTCGAACCCAAGGCCTTCGGTCTCTCGTGCGAATGCATAACCTACTAGGAAACTTTTTGTTTAAAATCGTATCAAAGTAGGAAAACATAATTTAAAACTTTTCTTTAAACTACCTTTTGAAAACATTATTATGGTTACTATTTGGAATGACAGTTTTTTTTACTTTTCATCCCATTTTAAAAAGTTTTTTTCTTAACATTCCATTTCATCCAATTAAATGATTAGTTTTCAATTCATTATCATTGGTTATAAAGTATAAGCTCTGTCATTTCTCATGTTGTCACGGCTACAGAAAACACATGTTCTTGAATACATTGTATATGGTAACGTTCTAATCCGATCGAATCGATAGCATCTATTAATTGTTCAGGGTGATCGGTTGATTTATCAACCAATGTACTTCGACAAATCTGTGTCTAAATAACTGAATACAATAGTCATTACCTATGTCAGGTTCCTGATTCGATATAATAAAGATTGGTTGATCACTTGGTGGCGATCAATGTCACGTGTGTCAAGTCCTTCTTAGTGCAAATGGAATCCTATCGACCAAATTACAATATGGCCACTAGTCTAGGTGACTCGACATTGCATGCACTATGTTGAGATAAGATGATGGTTAGAGGTAGTGAACAAGAAACCCTGGACCCAGGTTTCGTGCTACTTGTCACTTGTCACTAAAGTGTACCTGTTATTTTAAGGGAACTGACACTGCCCGACGGATTTGATAGCGTGTCACCCAGCTTCACAGTTAGAAACGTTACCACTGAGCTATCCGAACCACGACTAACCTCTTGAAGGACTGAGATGTATTTACAATTGATTGATCACTGGGTAGTGATCTTAATGCAGATCGAATCCTATCGACCAAGTCGCAATATGATCAACAGTCCAAGTGAATCAATATTGTGTAGATATTAAAACGTATAATTGATATCTAAGAATGTAATACCGTAAACACTCAAATTAAAGCTCTAAAGATAGTCAACTTCAATGATTTATACAAAATCTCAACAAAAAAAAGACATAAGAATAACTAATACATTTTGTTAGTTCTATATAGAAGAGATTGATATACGGTAACATAAGAAGTAGTCTATGAATCCATAGAATTCATGTAATAAATTTAGTCTATAAAAGTTACTTCTCTTATGAAGGTCAAATTAAGTTCAAGGTTACATAAATGATAACATTAATTTCTGATTGGTCAATTATATTACCGATGAAATAGATGAAGATTTTATTTATTTTCTTAATTAGTAAATGTTTCCCTATTTTTAGGCTAGAAACTAAAATGGTTATGTTTATTTGAAGTTAAACATTAACACCGTTGGATACCGGCTCAATGGTCTAGTTGGTTGGGTTCGAATCTCACGAGGTGCGGGATCGTGGATACGCACTGCTGAGGAGTCCCGTACTAGGACAAAACGGCCATCCAGTGATTCCAGGTTTTCCATGGTGATCTAGCTTCAATTAACTCCACAAACCCCTTCTGATTATGCTTATTCGCTAACCTAACCCAGTTTCTCTTTTTTTCTTCATTTATTAACACAGAACACAATTCAAATGACATTGAGCCATACTGTATGAGAGAGAGAGAGGCATGATCTACCAGACTTTTCAAACGAATTTAGATGGAACTGTCTATTGGTCGAACCTTAGTGACTATTTCATGTTTGGAAAGATATGAATTGACAAAAAATGTTATTTTCACGACAAATCAGTATTCAACAAAAGTATATTTTGTTTCAGATATGATTCTATATATTATTTTGAACGCGTTAACAATATAATGTATGAATTCACTAGGGAAATTTGATCATTTTCAATCACTTTTATGAAGGTTTTCAACCATCGATATCTTTTGTCGTTTTAAACATATCAAAATAGCATCTAGACATTTTATAGATTTCACTAATTGAAATCATGAGTCAATTGAAGTTAGACCATCATGGAGATCTGGAAGCACTGAACGGCCGTTTCGTCCTAGTATGGGACTCCTCAGAAGTGCGCATCTATGGTGGTCTAGCTTCAATTGACTCATGATTTCAACTAGTGAAATTTTTAAAATCTCCACAAAACCCCTTCTGATTTCATAGATTGACTAATTAAATAGTTTATTCTCTCTGAACATTGACATATGTGGTTAAGTATATGTTAGATATTTCACAACCACATCAATTAATAAGACAATACAAATAGATCGTCTCATTCACATTATAGACTAATCATCATCTTATTCAGAGTCGTAACTATGCACAGGTATTTGATGTAGTAGATCAGACGGAAAACTTCTTTCAATAACAGGATAACATGTGATGTCGAAGAGAGATCAGAGTAAAAAGTAACACAAAGATAATTGACCTTCGACATTGTGTTTATCAAAGAATCTCCAACGGTACAAGCATTATGAGATTCGAACACGGTGTTTCAGTGTTGTTCATATCACAGGCTAAAGTTAACAGCTTGTCATTTAGATGGATTGAGTAAAGGAGTATTAAAATTTTTAAATGATTCATATTCTCACTATTAAAATGACTTTGATATATGAATATGATTGAATAGTTATTTAGCATAGAACTCGTTCTAATCTGACTTAACATTGATTATTTCTCTGAGGTAACTCAGAATAGATATTCTGATTGACACATTTCGAAATTATTTCCTAATTTCAGCCTTTAACATTCACAAATCTAAATTCTTTATTATTTCAGCAGTTTATCCGTCTATCAATCAAAGGACGGGTTTACTGTGCAGCAGTTCGTTCCGTCCTACTTTATGGCTGTCAAACATAGCTGGTAAGAGTAGAGGATATTCGTAGGTTACTAGTATTCGATCAAAGGTGTCTTCAAAGCATTGCTCGTATATCCTGGGACCATCGAGAAAGTAATGCAGTTGTTAGGAAACGGGTACTAGGTAAGGATGGCAAATCAATTGATGAACTAGTGAGATTTCATCGGTTGAGATGGCTCGGACATGTGTTACGTATGCCCAAACACCGACTGCCCCGACGAGCTGTTTTATGATGTAGGAGTAGGTTGGAAGAAAGCTAGAAGCGGCCAGATCAAAACATGGCACAAATCCATGAAGTCACTGACAAGTAGACTGGGCCATGTTAGTTGGTGTAGACTACCTGGTTGGGATCCGTGAGACGATATCAACCGATGGTTATAGACCTTGAATGAAATGGTTCAAAATCATTTGCAATGGCGCAGGCGAATCCACTTTTTGTGTTCTTCCAATTTCCATTTTTCTGAATTATATTCCTTGTATAACATCTTCAAACCTTAATCTTTTCGATCACCGTCTATACTTTTACTACTATCACAAATATCTAAAGACTTATAGACTGTTGAACCTGATGATGATGATGATGAAGTATCCCCTCAAATATTCATTATTATTACTTTTTTAAAGAATAACAGTTACCTTGAGATAGGCAGAAACGGTAATATATATATTCAAAATGTTACTTACCTCTTGTTCAATGGAAGAATATTCATGTATTCGTTCTATACATACAATATTTGTTTCTAATTCTGAGAACATACGTACAAGCCAATTTAATGTTTGATTTAAATTTAATGCATAAGTAATAACAAGACCAGAGAAACCAGCGGATAAATAACCTTGAGCAACAACTGATAGGATAGCAACAGCTAATATAACTGAATTACCAACAAGTTCTAATAAAACTGCAAGCCATCTATATATTTTGTTATTAAAAAAAAAAGAAAATATTTGAAGACTATACAAAGTGACACCTATATACATGGATGCAAAGAAAGTAATGATGATTCATTCTAAGTATTTCAAATCTTAAAGTATCTTTATAGACTTGATGTTGTTTTACTTGTATCTTCCGATTGCTATTTAGCACTGCAATGGATCAGTCTCTTAATATTGGTATATATGCATCCTGTGCGGACGACTGCCACGATATTGCTTGAAGTCACAAGCTACATAAACAAAGATGGATAGTGACTAGCAGTGATTGATCAAATGTAGTCCTAAATAACAATGGGAAGATACAAGTAAACAATACCAAGTGAATAGAATTTCACCCCATTACACAGGGAGGTGACTATCAGAATTCAGTAGGTAAGGGAATAACGCAGTGGCATTTGAAGCGAATGGTACTGGAGTCGAGTCCCTCCCGGAGTAAACATCAACTTTGAAATGCAGGGACATCCAGTTGATCAGTCCCAAATAGGACGAGACGCGCTTCAAACTGTATTCCACTGCTAGCCACTATCCAACTTTGTTAAAAAGGTGTCTTTAGTTTTTGTAAGTTGATTTTTATTATCAGAAGTGGTTTTTTGTGAATATTATAGTAATTTCAGTAGTTAAGATCATGAGTCAATTGAAGCTAGACCACCATGGAAAATCTGAAAGCAGTGCACGGCCGATTCGTCACAGTATGGGACTCTTCAGCAATGCGCATCTACGATCCCACACATAGGACTTGAACCTAGGACCGTCGGTCTCACACACAAACGATTTTTTAAAAAAAAACTATTTATCACAAAATTGAACAGGATTATACGTTAGTTAAGCGATTATTACATCTTGAATAAGGAACCCAGGATATATGTTTAATTAAGACTAGTAACTTTGATGTACATACATCCTAGTGTTGGTGTTAAAATTGAAACTTGAATCTCGTCAAACTTGCAGCTATCAGGTTATATCGAAACAGTTCAACCAGGATATACATATAAAAATAGAGACTGATCAATTATCAGCGATAGGGAAGCTGAAACTCATATTCATATAAACGAATATAGGATATAAATTTCATAAGTCACTCAAATACAATCAAAATGAATACTTGGATATGAAACTCAAATATCTTCCGCAGTGTTTGTAATGGAAAGATTAAGTTGTAAATTTATCAAAGTTAATAAGATATCTGATATATGAAATAAACTAAGAAGTGATTTAAGGAATGCTACTTAGTACCCATCTGATTATGAATATTAAATGACCCTGGATAACTTCTTATTTATTAGTAGGCTAAATCTCAGAGTATAAAAAAGAAGTACGCACTATGTTAGGAACGATTTGTCACAAGTTTATTAATTCAAGAAAACAAGAGAACGTTCAGCAGTCAAATCAAAGAAAGAAAACGTAATCTGTCATTCAAATATATCAATATATGTATTGGTTATAAATTATTGACTAATTGTATTTACAAACATAAACGAAAAGGTAAACTATTGAGGATGTTAGATCCCCAGAACTCATTTGGAAAAGGTCTTAACTTTGTAATTTTATCATGAAAATTTGAATTTCATGTTTTTGCGCCAAGAGACGCTTAGTTGACCTACAGCTCAGAAATCATTGACTATCATTGGTCGACGGATTTTTTTGGTACGCTATTTTGTGGTTCTCCCAAGGGCATTTCTATCATTGTATAAATAAACTTGACTTGTGTGCTTAGTGACCTCGTATTTTCTGAGCGCTTGTAGAATACATTCTCTATGCCTCATCGAGACTCTTTGATCTAGTTAGCAGGGTCAGGGACAACGGATTAGAGTAGCTTATCTTGTCACTGTATCGTTGACCTTCGTTCCGTTTACCGAGTAAGGTGAATTCGCAATAGCATTCAAGCATATCATAAACATAAGTAATTGACATGTACACATTTAAACCCACCATGAGAATATACATAGCTGAATAAACGTCTAAATCATTATAAAGTTGTTGATGTAAAGACAATTGATATATTTATTTGACACAGCCTATCTAGCTATGACAAAACTGATTTCAAACAATTCTACGATTCTCAGAAGTTGAATTGACCTAAATATACATGATTTGATCAGATCTGATGATGTAAGACATTTTTATAAAGCACAAATTGATTTAATTATATGAGTATTGAACCATATTTCCCATATTTAATAATAACATCGTTTTCGCCAGTAATTTCCACTCTACGCTTCCCACTAATCTCCTCAACTAAGTCGTAGTCACGCCATTCGTTTCAAAAGAACTTATATACTAGCTAACGTATATGGTGGTTTCAAGTGATCTAACCAAAACAACTCGAAAACAATGTAGGGCTTGTTGGCAAACACAAATCAATCAAATGAGAAGGGATTTCTATCCGTTCTAAGGTACAACCATTGTTTCATATACATCAATATATTTTTTTGTTATATCCCGATAAGTAGAAAAACTGTACTTTTGGTGTTTCGTGACTTAATGTGGGTCACTTCTTCAGAATATATAAACAACCACCTATTCGGTCATTTATTTACTCTAAATAAGTAGTCAACATTAGGTCACGAAATCTCAAAAGTACAATTTTTCTACTCATTGGTATATTACAAAAACTATATTTCCTATTAACTTTTTACCCAATCTTGAATTTATTTAAAACTATCAAATTCAACCTTGGTACTGATACATTATGTAACAAGTTTAATATCACTCAGCCAGTTGATCATCATCCATGTCGTGTAGAGACAGGTATCTACCTCAGTACAATGGAAGTTGGTCGCGAAATTTCGTGGATTCGTTGGTGTTAGACACTATCACCACTGGATGCCGGCTCAGTGGTCCAGTTCGTTAAGCAGTCGCGCGCGAAACCGAAAGCCCTGGGTTCGAATCCCGCGAGCGGGATTGTGAAAGCGCACTGCTGAGGAGTCCCACAATAGGACGAAACCACCATCCAGTGCTTCCAGGTTTCCAAAGGTCGTGGTCTAACATCGATTGGTTTATGATCTCAATGAACAAATGTAGGACTTGATGCAAATGAGCATCTCTTTGCCTTCTCGTGGCGGGGGTATTGTTTACGAAAATGAGAGGACGAATAGCGAATGTCCGACCCTTTAACCGGATTCCAAACCAATGGTGCACATGGGCTCCAGTATCCTGAGGGAACAAATGGCGTATGAACCAATTGTTGGTCACCGGCTTCCATGGGACTGCATCTCCTCACGATGCTCCACTGCCTTGTGGATCAGACCCTCAGGTCGAAGGCTCGAGGAGTGGCCCCGGTTAGGGTACCCGAGTAGTACTACAGCCCTCACACATATCAAATGAGATTTGTGTGGTGCATATGTATTTGGTGCCTCCTTGTACCAATAACTATGTGTTGAAATAAATAAATAAAATGATTAGCTAGTAGATCCACATTATGATGGATTAATTTGACTAGCCTAAGTAGATACTGTTAAGTAGTATTTGATTTCTTTCAAAACAGGAAGATTTCATCTTCAACAATACTTTCAAGGTTCAATTCAAAACAGGCGTGAAATTTTGACATTTCTATACAGATTTTTAAATATGTCTCTTTAATCGATTTTGATGTAGGATAGGTCTTTTCAAAATCATAACCTGAGAGTGTAAAAAAAACTGAAAGGTGACTATCAAGGTTATACAGGGTAGTCAACAATTCCCTAAAGAACATGATGAATACTTGCTCGAGATATATAAGACAAGTAACTTATAAGTTGCGAAAGTGAATATTTCATTGTTGATTTGAAAGGGTGAGTTTGTTTGCAGTTACCCAGTTTATCCGTCGAAATCATTAACTACTAGTTAACGAACGTTTTTAATTTTACAGTCCATGGAAAGATCGAAATGAAGACAAGTCATCATTTGTGGTATTCGTAATAACAACATCTGTCCGTTACTGACTGAGAACGAAAAGCGAATGTCCGGCTCATTAACTGCGTGAGTGGATATAGAGAATCCACATAGGGGAATTGGAAATTTCTGATTCCAAACTAGTGATGCAAACGGGCTCCAGGACCCTAAAAAAACAAATGGCGTATGAAGGAATTGTTGGTCAACAACTGCCATGGGACTTAATCTCCTTACGTTGCTCCACTCCACCTTGTGGATTAGACCTTTAGGTCGAAGTCTCCGGTTGTAGCATCCTAAGAAAACTACCTGCTTTCGTCTGAGCACCACACACAAATCAAGCGACTTATGTGGCGCCTATGCATTAGGTTCCCCTATGTGGCAATATTTATGTGTTTAAATATATAAATATAAAATAACCTGTAAAACGCAATGCAGACAATGTCCTTCAAAAGATTAGTTTAAACTTTAATATCGAAATGTAACAGAAATTCCTAGTAAAATAGGAACCATCTCATACCAACAGATTGAATAGAACTGTAATTCACATTGTATTGAACGAGAAAACAAGTAAGGACAGTCGAATATATTTGAACACAAAATTACAGAATCTGAGAACCATACCGTAAATAGTCAATCCAGTGTCCTAAATTTGACTGTTCCTTTTGCAAATATCAATCAAACGTCTGTGACTTCATCATTCCTGCATTTTCATACCAATTGCTTTCTGTTCGCATTCTTTCCTTCTTGACTTTTTGCTGCCAGACATTCTAATTTTGACTATCGTTACATACTAGTCATATTGATATAAGTAGGATACACTACAATATTACCCTTTTCTTACCAAACAATTCATTATTTATCTACGTAAAAATACTGTTAGCGTGATCCAGAAAACTTCTTGCGAAAGCAAAGTGTTGTGACGTGAGGGCACATTAGAGGAAAGCGTATTTACCGATCGATTCAGTGACACGTAAACGCGTACGGACGGCCTAGAGTCCCGATTGGCCTCGCTTCGCTGTCTATCCCAGCCAGTTGAGTCCAGAACACAAATCTCAGCCTCTGAGTTGTGAATCATTATATTTCAGACATACTCTATTGATATACCAACCAACCAGACCACATCGTACCATAAGATAGAAAACAACATTTGTAAAATATTTGACAAGTGAAATAAATATCGATCAATAGGAAATGTCCATTTAACGTCCAAGGACACTATTAGACTTAACACGATAATTATTGGTATATTCATCTGCATCCATAACACCAAAAAAGGTTCAGGAAACTGTAAGAAGCATTCTATTCAATCAGTATTCATTACAAGTTTAGCCAGAAATATCAAGAAAGTGAAAAGTCGCATGTAGAGTTTCTGATAAACTGATTAGTATACTGTTATTATGTTTAGTAGCATTCTAGAATTGTCGGCAAACCCAAAGACATTTAAAATACTATAGAAACTTTATATTTTCTGTACTCAAAAACAAATCTTTGAAGTAACGTGCTTCTCGAATACTTCGCACGTTTTCACTCATGTTCAAGTCAGTGTGTAGTTCCAACTTGGGGATTAGGAGAATAGCTTCGGAACAGAATATGGTGTTCAATTAACAAGACTTATGCAATACAATCAAAGAACATCAAACTGATAGTCTATAATTATTGATAGACATTATTATTAGTATTAGAAATAGTAACCAACTAACCTTTGTGATATAATTGAAGCATAAACAGCCGAATTATTTAAATCTTGTCTAGTTGAACTAATCGTTTTATAGATTTCAATTAATTTATATGCTCGAATACTATCAACACCAGATAAAGTTTCTGAGAAATGTGAAAATATCGGTGATAAACTAATTGATTCTAAACGTTTCAATTGTCTAGATGTAGTCACATATAAATTCTGTAAACAAGAAACAAAAACAAAAAAAAAACATTCAAGAAAAGATAAACAAAAATATTGAACGTTAATGTTTACGAAAGATAAACTGATGATCAGTATAAAGATCATTAGTATCATTAGCTATTATAAATCAATTAAAAGTTTCAATAGTTAACTGAAATTAGACCATCATGAAAAACCTGGAAGTACAGGACGTAGTCGTAGATGCACACTACCACTGAGGAATCCCACAATAGGACGAAATAGCCATCCAGTGCTTCAAGATTATTAAGTTATAGTTTGCTAACTATTGTATAAAATCATTAACTATAAAAATAATTCCTATGTACAATGGTAATCAATGAAATGAATAGATCTAAGTTAAGAAAGTTTTTTGATGGAGTTTGTGCTGATGATGTCGTTCAGAAGAACGATGAAAGCTCCACGACTAAACCATCCAGCTCAGAGAACAAAACTTCATCAAAATCATCCATCTGAGCTACAAATATTCCTCACCATCTCAAGTTAAGAAAGTCTCGAACCTAGAGTAAAGGAGATCTTTGTAACTTAGTACTTTTATATTCAAAACAAATCAAAGAACATAACATTAGCGGCTTATAATGTTTGATAAGTAAATTGAAATTACTATTTGATTGTTAGTATAATGATGTAATTCAATCATTAACCAACGCTTTAAGCTGTACATCTTAAAAAGGTTAATCACATTAGCAATAAGACTAACATACCATCGATGACGTTAGATGAGAGATATACGATATAACTAATTGACTGGCTTAGACAAGTAAAATATTAGATGTCAAATCAGTAGTCAAATTATAACGTACTCGATACAACATCTTCTCATTCAGAATTTGATACCATATAGAGTACAAGAAGTATAGACAGATTCTAAGTCAGATACTACAACAAAACAATTATTCTAATCTTTTTCATCTTTCAATACATTACCTAGTTAATGTTCATGGTAAGACTATAATTTATGGAGGACCTTTGACCGACGTCAGACTAACCTTGGGAGTGGCCACTTAATAATCAGGACCAACTGAGGATTATAAACCATTGTAGGAAATACAAATTATGATGAACAGTTGATGATTAAAGTTAGAAATTAGATTCAGGATTTTCATCACGAACTTACATCAGTTATAATATCAAAACTCTATTTATCTGAATAAATGAATTTCACGTTAAAGCCCGAGACCTGTTATCTTATATGTGATTGGTTCGTCCACAAATTATAGTCTCGCCATGATGTCTAACACTTTAACCAATCCATCATTCATCATTGCCTTCAGTCAGTAACGGCCTCACAACAGACACTATTGAACTTCACTACGTATAGCTTCTCACTAGAACTCCAGGAAATCTCATGAGCAAGATAGTGGATACACACTGCTGAAGAATCTTATAATACTAGGATAAAACGACCGATATTAAGTCAGAAACTACAACAAAACAATTATTCTAAGGTTTATTATCTAACTAATGCTTATCCGCAAATGTGACTAATGTTTTTTTCAAAAAACAAATCAATCTCTTCTTCAAATCTTAATTATCAACTTAATAATATTCTCAACTGTGTGTGTGTATGTGAATGAATGAATGAATGGACAGAAAAGGTTTCTATCTTATTAAATTCAAACAATCATTAACGAAATTCACAAAAGTTCTATTCAATGAATTGTTGCTAGGTCACTTAGAAACAATCAATGAATAATAATTAATTACCATAGTAACATGAAACTTTTTTTTAGGAGAAATAAAAAAATTTTTTTTTCCAACTTGAATATAAATTCATGAAATAATATAAACAAAAAAAACATACAAACAAACAGTAACTGTGTGAAATGAGATCTAGATGAATCTTGTTTGTTTTTCTTTTCTTTTCTGTCATGACAATATGGCAAACAAGTTGTAATGGTTTAAATTATGCAACAATATAGAATAAAGCATAATAAGAATACATAATGAAACTTTTCAATTTTTTTATTGTTTTATTTAAAAAATTCATCAAGTGAATTTTAATGAATCGTTGAATTCATAAGTCAATTTAAGCTAGACTATTGTTGAACATTTTGGAAGTATTAGACAGCTGACGGTTTGTCATAGTATGCAATTTCTCAGCAATGCTGGTACACGAATTTAGGATCTTCGATCCCAAGTGTAAACGCTTAACCATTAGACCAGTGAACCGATATCCAATGGTGTTATTGTCTTAACTTCAATCAACCCATCATCTTAAACAACCATTCATTCATTGTTTGAGTTAGATACTTGTCTTTACTCGACATGGATTGCACTTCTTCAATAGAACTTTAGTAAATCTATCTTGAAACCAATCACAAATGAGAAAATGATTATTGATTCAAACAGGGGTTTGTGGAGATTGTAGTCATTTTATTAGTTGAATTCGTAAGTCGATTTAATAAAGAATGTCGATATGTCTAAACAATGTGTTTGTTCCTAAGCAAAGTCATCGTTAATTATAATTTATACTATTGATATGAATCAACTAAACTTTTGTTTAGTAGACAACAATTTCCAATGGAAGATGTTTCTTATGATCTAGTTTTGTAAAATGTTGTTAATATGAAATTCTAACTTCTTTTATTAACAATTAAATTGAACGAAGTATATAATCATCAATGACGCAAATGTTTCTTAATTATTACTACTTTGTACATTAGCCCCTGAATGCCTTAATATGGTCGAGAGAGGAGAGAGTACGCACTCCCTCTCCAAATGCTTTCACATGGCCACATCAATACAACCACTGATAGGGAAGTTCTAATCACTGTCTTCTCGTGGCATTACTGTTGTCTGCGAAATTGAGAGGACGAAAAGTGAATGTCCGGCGCATTAACTGTGTAGGTGGATATAGTGGATCCACATTGGGGAGTTGGAAATCCCTGATTCCAAATCAATGGTGTACATGGGTTCCAGGATCCTGAGGGAACAAATGGTGTATGAACCAATTGTAGGTTACCGGCTACCATGGGACTGCATCTCTTGACGTTGCTCCACTCCGCCTTGTGGATAAGACCTTTAGGTCAATACTCCGCTTGTGGCTCTCTAAGAAAACCGCCTGCTTCATTTTGGTTACCCGGGCAGTATCACAGCCCTCATACAAATCAAACGAGATTTGTGTGGCGCATATATATTTAGTGCCTCCTTGTAACAATATCTATGCGTTGAAATAAATAAACATTATCATATACAAATATTGAATTATTAATATCTGCAGGAGGTTTGTGTACATTATAGTAATTTTAATAGTTGAGATCATGAGTCAATTAAAGCTAGACCACTATGGAAAACTTGAAAGCACTGGACGGCTGTTTCGTCCTATTTGGTAACTCCTCAACAGTGCACATCCACGATCACGGTATATACAAAAACAATCTATTACATAAATCTGTTTATCATGTTCTTGACATTTTTATGTTCATTTGTAGTATTAATATACATTTACCCATTTCCTATACATAATGAAGATTTCTCTTTGGAACTATTTCTATAAACCTTTGAAAAGTATTACTTCAATATGCATTTCTGAAATTTATCTTCTAGGATAAAGTTATTGAGATAAATATACCACAGTGAAATCGTTCACAAAGATTAACTAGATAGCATCGAAGAAAATACTATTTATGAACTTTGTGTATTATCAGTAGTATAATCAGTGATTATTATTATTATAACAAATATGAAGTGAATTTTCAGTCATGATTATTGATGTATTAATAGATAAGATGGGGGTTGGAGGTAGTCAACAGCAAAAGCTGAACCGGAGTTTCGTGCTTTTTGGCATCCATTCCTTCAAGATTACAGGTACATCTTGTTAACGAGTGCCAAATTACACGAAACCTAGATTCAAGGTTTCCTGTTCACTACCTCTAACCAAACCATCTTATCTCAACATAGTGCACTCAATGTCAAGTCACCTAGATTAGTGGGTCACATTGCAACTTGATCGATAGCATTCAATCTGCACTAGCAAAGACCTGTCACAAATCACATTGATCACTAACCAGTAGTTATTTAAGAGAGTGAATCCACTGAAATACATTATAGATTCTTTAATCCAACTAAGAAAACTGATTCTAGTCTAAAAACCAAAAAAAACTTTCAAACAAGAACAATGATAACTAAACAATATGATTATGATGTAATCATTAGCAAATGAGTAGTATCAATTACAGATCAAACAATAACACTTTGTTAATATCTCTCAGCGCTATATAATCATGATGATAATGATGATGATGATAGTATGTTAATTAAAAGGTAACTCAAATTCACTATCTAAGGATGAAACACTAACATACAAATTATACATATAAAATGGAATCAACATAGATATACTACTACTACTACTACTATGTATAATAACAGTAATATATAGAAACAAACAAAACTTGACATGCAATGAAATTTGTAAAAACAAAGTACAATCATTTTGAATATATCTATCTATCACTTACCTGTATATATAAATAGATAATTGTTAATAAACAAATTGGAATAATCATGTATATATTAAGTGTACAAGCAAGGCATAATGTTAAAAAACATGTTAGTACACAATTTAATGTACTATTCAATGAAACCAATACTGGATTATCTAATGTTGCAATATCTTGTGAAAAACGATTGACAATTCGACCCTATAAAAATTAATTTATAATTGAAGAGAACAAATGAATTAAGTAGTATAATTATGATGATGATGATGATTTAAAAAAAATGCATTAAAATCAATCATGTATCGGTAGTCAATCAGTCAGTCAATCAACTACAATGTATATGATCAGGTACATATATGCATCGGTTCAAGTTGTTACATCTTACTCATTAGCACAACAAGATCAACATCAAATTCATAGAAAGAGTTACTTTGATCGATTCTGAGCCATGTCACACACAGTCTCCAACCATTGGTTACGATAGTCACGTGGACTCCAACCAAGTAGTATACATCTACCAACATGACTGAGACTACAAGTTAGTGACTCCAAGCACTGATGCCATGTTTCGGTTTGCCCACCCCTAACTTTCTTCCATACGTCTCCAACACTAGTCAGCATTGCGCGTCGTGGTAATCGGTATTCAGTTATACGTAACACGTGTCCCAACCATCTCAGTCAATGAAGATTCACAACCTTATCAATTGGTTTACCATCATTCCCTAATACCCTACGCATAACCTCACTATTACTTATCCGGTGATCCCAGTAGATTCGAGCAATATTTCTAAGAGATCTGTGGTGAAATACTAGCAACCTACGAGTATTTTCTACTCTTAATGGCCACGTTTCGCGGCCGTAAAATAGAACAGAACGAACTGCCGCGCAGTATACTCGTTCCTTATTAATAGTCTTCATAATGGGTGACGTAGTAGATAGTGTAACTTACAAATGTCTCGACGCATCAGAAGTTTGCATAAGTCTACTCTCCTTCTAGAAATAATATAAGAGAACCTCTACTAACTAATGAAGGTGTTTTTATCACGAAAGTGAGATGATAAACAGATGTGCAGAACTTAAACCGGGTTGATAGATATCTATATGCTATAGAAAGATGTTATAAAACGGAGCGAGAAGTATAGTTCATTCTGTCACTTTCTTAATTAGTGCTAATCATCGCTAGTGTGTAGGCTAAGATACTGCTTACACATTCAAACCAGAACAGATACAATAGTAATGTGATCACTCTTAAAATCATTTCACATTATTTTTTGTTAAGTAGTGGGCTTAATTTATGAATATGATAGCAACCAAAGAATGATCGTACGCTTATTCATTCTGTTAGAATTTGGATCTCTGTACACAGCAATAGTTTTCAATCAGAATTTACGAGTCCCTGCGGTTACTTATCACCCAGGTTTACATCTCAGATGTCTGTTACATTATTCCATTTGTATAGTTAGAAAATACATAACAGCAAAAATGATGAAAACATGTCAATGTAACTTACATGAGGAACTAAATCGAAAAATGTAGCTGGAGCATGTAATACATAGCTTAATAATCGACTATGTAATCGTATAACACATCCTAAATGACCGATCGATAATGTATATATAGATAACATTGCGAATAAAACTAAGATAAGATGAGAAAATAACAATAATAGATATGAGATAATTATAATTAACAAGGAATGAATAGATTTTGTTTACATAAAGAAGGAATCAATTGAAATTAGATAGGATAATGTAATGGAAGCATAGAATTGTTTATACTACTACTAATACTACTAATAATAATACTACTACTACTACTTCATACACACAGATACATGTATCCAAGAGAAGCAGAATTAAAGAATCCAAACATTTCTATTCCCAGATTAGGTAAAAAGTATGATTTATAAGTTAACTACAAGCATGGATATATACATCTATACCTTTATAATCATAGAAGCAAATATTCATGCTACATATACATATATGATATTGTTGTGTTAAACCACCTGCCTTTATATAATATAACCATATACCAAATATAAAGTAAATGATGATACTGTATAAAATTCCTTTAATTGAAATCAATCCAAATAAATAAACTATTTGCCCAGTGATAATTATAATATCCAAATAAAGATTTATTAAACCAGTTATAGTGAATGGGAATACATTTTCAATATTTGCAAAATCTACTGTTAAACAATTGATGATACATTGTATTGGTGCTTCATTATAATGACAACATTCAGTATTGTTGCTATGACAGCGACGATGAGGATGATCATGATGAAGATCATTCAAATGATTCAGATTAGATTGTTTTAATTGAGTAATAGGTTGACTAATAAACCCTAATGGTAATTCTTTTGATTTTATTATTAATATTAAACAATTTCTATAGAATCGTGTATTAGCTTTTAATAGTCCAATAAAACCGATAAGATCAGCAATGACTTTTGTGATACCTTGATAGATTGAAATGATTAGATAATAAAAAAAAGATGAAAAAGAAAAACATAAAGAATATTCTCAGTATCAAAGAGGAAAGAAAAAACAACACATTGAACATTGTATTAACAAAAATGTCTACAATTACTACCCCTTAGTCAGTCAGTCAGCAACAACGTAGGACTTTGAACGTACTTACGCACATCAGTTCAAGTTGTCATATTATATTAGCAACCAGATACAATTGTCGATTCAAATCCCATTGTGGTAGAGGAAGTAAAAGTATAAACAATAATCGGAAAGATTAGGGTTTGAAGATGTTATTCAAGGAGTATAATCCAGTGAAATAAATTTGGGAAGAGAAAAAAGGAACAACAACAATTCAGAAGATTAGGATTCGGGAGAACACAAAGAATGGATGCACCTGCGTCATTGCAAATGATTTTCAGCCATGTCATTCAAGGTCTCTAACCATCGGTTGCTATCGTCTCGCGGTCTTCAACCAAGTAGTCTACACCTACCAACATGACTCAGTCCACTTATCAGTGACTTCATGGATTTGTGTTATGTTTTGATCTGGCCACCCCTAGCTTTCTTCCAAACTACTCCTACACCACAAAACATCGCACGTCGGGGCAGTCGGTGGTTGGGCATACGTAACACGTGTCCCAGCCATCTCAACTGATGAAGTTTCACTGCTTCATTAATTGATTTGCCATCCTTACCTAGTACCCGTTTCCTGACAACTGCATTACTTACTCGATGGTCCCGGGATATACGAGCAATGCTTCGAACACACCTATGATCGAATACTAGTAACCTCTAATGAATAAACGATAATTTAGTTTCATATATCTTGGAAAGTGATATCAGTTTGGAAATAATCAAAACGCTGAGAAATTTTTTTCATTAGAGTTAAAATTTTAATTTGAATAGATACTTCTACAGGTTATTTAGATCTTACATTCCTTCAACCAAATAATTAATAGTTCTGAAGGAGAGTTGTGTTCAATGATGTTGTATATCCAGTAATAATCACCGACGGTAATAGATAATGAAATTGGATAATATCACGAATTGAAAGATATATATAGTGAGATAAGGTGATCTGAAAAATAAGTCCTAGTAAAACATCCCGTTGGTCCCAGCTTTGATTCTAAATAGGATGATGAATGCTCAATCCTTAAGAGTCTCGTATTAGGCCGAAACAACAGTCCAATGTTTCCTAGTCTATGATGGTTTTCTCAACTGAAGTTAGTTCGTGATGGAAAATTACAAAATTAACCGATTTACACATTTAGATACTAACAAATGACTAAATGTCACGCGATTTCATGAACAATCAGTAAAGACATTAAGCATTTGAGTATTGTTCATCCATGGAATGCTATTGTCTTGTTTTGTTTTTTGAAAAAAATCTTGAAGCGCGTTGTACAACAACAATCAAATACAGAAGAGAAATATGCTTAAAACGTTCGTAGAAATCTAATATGATACTAATAGGTTAGTATAGGTAGTTCATAAAACTCTGATGACGGTTAAAGTGAGATCCAATACAGTAATACTAATATTCAGAATAATCAATTAATGACACGAGAAAAGATGTTTAATGAAGGGGCTGATCAACTTGAAAAAAACAATCAAGCATATTGTATAAAAGATTTGTAGCTCTGAATGATTTTAATAGAGTTTTGTTCTCTGAACTAGTTAGTTGAGTCGTGGAGCTTTCATCGTTCTTCTGAACGACATCACTACATATCACGATAAAATAATCCTGATTTATTCATGTACTAAGCATAAATTATATGCGCTCAGCTTTGAATCATACTAATGTTGAGTAAAATCTAACGATACTACTCGGTCACCTAAATTGAACTAGGTGATATAGAGTTTGAAATTAAAACCTACAAGTTGAATGTCACCACTCTACACAATAATACAAAGAAGTGTATTCACCTGAAAAAATGTATCAAAATTAGGTAACTGAGTGTCTATTCGAAATTTTAATGGATTGACGATATAACGCAATCATCATCCTAAATAACACTGATGATTTTGCTCACTTCAAAACTTGATATAAGTATAAAGAATGATGATTGTACAAAGATTAAATATCCCATGTTATGATATAACTGAACTTTTTAACAAGAAACCAAAACTTCAAAAATTTTCTTCTTTAGGAAATCAAGAAGTAAGTGAAAATAGTCATATGTCACAAGGCAACAATTTTTTATAGGTACATGAAATGCGGCGGCCTGCTTGAGCATCTGGGCTACCTGTTCCTGCCATCTAGATATTTCAACAAGTTATCTATTGTTGTTTGTTTTAATATATCATTATGTTTATTAATCGCATAACCTATTCTGCTGCGTTTCTGAAAAGTGTACAACCTTTCGTTGTCAAAGTTACAAAAAACTCAATAAGAGACAATATGGTTGCTGGCAATGTACAACGAAAAGAATGTACATTATTCAGTTGTTCATTCACTGAAGTGCTAACATCTAACTGGCGATTCCTCAATATTTATCGCCAGGACCGACCAAGAAGAAAGAAACGGAAACTTGTTGAAATACTTTGCGCTGAGAATTCTATATTGTACCAAAATTATAATATTGAATAAAGCTAATAATAATAAAATAATAATAACAATGTGGAAGACCGGGAAGACCAGTTGGAAATGGATAGGACATACATTGAAGAAATCTTCAAAGCGCATCAAGAGGCAAGCCCTAATTTTAAATCCTGAAGGAAATCGGAAAAGAGGAAGGCCAAAGAACACATTACGTCGGAAAATAGAAGCAGATATGAAAGGGATGAATACCAACTGGAATGAGCTAGAAAGGACTGCCCAGGACAGGGTTAAATGGAGAATATTGGTGAGCGGCCTATGCTCCTCCACGAGGAGTAACAGGCGTAAGTCAGTAAGTAAGCTCTCACTTGGAATTCTCAAGGCCCAACAAGAAGAGGAAGACCAAAAAATATATTACGCTGAGAAATGGAGAATGAACAACAAGTGGATAGAACTAAAAAAGAAGGTGGAGGACAGAATGGGTTAAAGAATGGTAGTCGGCGACCTATGCCCCATTGGGAGTAACAGACGTCAGTAAGTAATCAAACACTATCATCATTGGATGCCGGCTCAGTGGTCCAGTAAGTTAAGTGTTCGCGCACGAAACTGAAGGCCCTAAGTTCGAGGTCGTGGATGCGAACCGCTGAGGAGTTCCACAATAGGACGAAACGGCCATCCAGTGCTTCCAGGTTTTCAAAGGTGGTGGTCTAACATCAAATGGTTCATGATCTCAGTCAAAAAACTTAATAATCTTCACAACCCCTATACTAGGAAACAAAAATAAATTGATTTTCATATAAAAGTATTTACATCAATATATGAATTGTACTATACCTTGTAAAGTACCAAATAATGCATAGATTGATAATCTATAATTACGTTGGGAATAAAATTGTTCAGATGTATTATTATTAAAAGATAAATTATATTGATTTATTTTTGCATCATTTGACCAATCAGCTAACCATAAATTTGTTCCCAATGATAATAAATGATTTAATGGATAAAATAATAATACTAATAAACTATAAAGTAGTCCAATATTTTTTATATAAATTAAAAAGACTTGGAATTGAATCTGAAAAATACGAGAGAAAAAACAAACAAACAAAAATGTTCAATAAAGAAAATAAGTTGTCTTATTCCAGTATATAATCCATCAGTAATGTGAATTCATAGCCTCATCCCCAAATGCCCTGGTATGGCCGAGAGTGAGGAGAGAGTATGCCCTCCTTCTCGAAATGCTCTTACATGGCCACGTCAATACAACCAATGACAGGGAAGTTCTAATCACTGTCTTCTAGCGACATTACTGTTGTTTAGGAAATTAAGAGGGGGAAATGTGAATGTCCGGCGCATTAACTGTGTAGGTGGATATAATGGATCCATATTGGGGAGTCGGAAATCTCTGGCTCCAAACCAATGGTGTACATGGGCTCCAGTATCCAGAGGGAACAAATGGCGTATGAACCAGTTGTTGGTTACCGACTACCATAGGACTGCATCTCTTGACGTTGCTCCACTCCACCTTGTGGATTGGACCTTTAGGTCAAAGGCTCTGGTTGTAGATCTCTAAGAAAACCACCAGCTTTGGTTTGGGCATCACGTACAAATGAAGCAACTTATGTGGCGCCCATGTATTAGGTGCCCCTATGTACCAATATTTATGTGTTTAAATAAATAAATAAATCTAAAGACATTTAGGTCTTTTAATAAGCACATAATTAAAACATCTTGGTTTATGATAGTTGCCTGAGATAAGTTAGTGATGTAAAGTAAATAAATCAACCATCTTCATAACCTCTTAATAATAATAATAGTATCTTTTAACGTTAATCATTTTGAACATAAACAGCACCATAAAAGTGACACATATACAATACCGCTATAAGTTCGTAAACAATTATAGGAGTAGTGATGTAATGCAATGTGTTTTTTTATTTATTTTAACACATAGATATTGGTACAAGGAGGCACCAAATATATATGCGCCACACAAATCTCATTTCATAAGTGTGAGGGCTGTGATACGGCCCGGGTGCCCAAACCGAAGTAGGTGGTTACCTTAGGGGGCCACACCCAGAACCTTCGAACTGAAGGTCTGATCCACAAGGCAGTGAAGCGTCGTGAGGAGATGCAGTCCCATGGTAGCCGATGACCAACAATTGGTTAATACACCATTTGTTCCTTTAGGATACTGGAGCGCATGTGCACCATTGGTTTGGGATCAGGGTTTTCCAACTCACCCAGGTGGACTCTCCGTGTCCACCAACCCGGTTAAAGCGCCGTCTTCTCAATTTTGTGAACAACACCCCCGTCACGAGAAGGCAATGAGTAGGACTTCCCTGGTAGAGGCTATATACGCGTGGCTATAAGAGAGCATTTGGAGAGGGAGAGCGAACTCTCCCTACTCTCGGCCGTACCAGGGCATTTGGGGACAATTCAATGTAACACTGGGATCTATCGGTTATAATAATATTAGGATCTAATATGGATCGATATATCAAATCAAATTCACTTAGTCATTATTGGACTATTTCTTTTTTAACCTAGTGAAAAGTATTAAGAACTAATGTATCCTGTCTTGTTATCACTATACTATTCTTCTATCATAAAAGAAAACAAGACGAAATTTTACAAATTTGATGTATAATCACATCTTTGTAGCTTTTTATAATTTCAATGGTTAAGATCATGAGTCAGTTGAAGCTAGACCACCATGGAAATCCTGGAAGCACTGGACGGTTTTCCATGGTGGTCTAGCTTCAACTGACTCATGATCTTAACCATTGAAATTACTATAATATCCACAAAAAACCCATCTGATATCTAATTATATATCAAGTGGGGTTAGTGAATTGAAGTGTTTATACACATTATGTGTTCTATGGCTAATAATTTAACACGTACACAACATGTATTCATCATTCAGTAAATTTAATCACTTACTCGACCAGTGAGAACTTTTTCTGGTTGACTCATTGGTTCAATAGTTTTTTGCTCTTGTTCTTTTACGGTATCCTCAGTGTCACTAACCTCAATTATTGATGATTTGTCCTAATTAATGAGTAAATAAAACAGTGTGTGATTAGATAATGGTAATGATGATGATAATAATAACAATAATACAGAAATTCAATGTAGACTTTCTTGATGATATATTACATCATAAGACTAAGTACGAATTTTGAACAGGATATTTTAGCGTATGACATTTGTATTTCCATCAGGTATAGAAATGCTATCTGTTCATATCATAAACGATGACATAATTTAATCGATCATGAAAATAATTGGACAAATTATTCTTGATAATTGTGAATTGTGACAACTGTCATGATGATTAATATTTGAAGGAATATCCCTTGAGATAGTATAAAGTTTCATACATAGTTTTAGTTAAGAATTGCCGTGACCAGTAGAGCTAATCTATGTCGGGTAGAGACAAGTATCTACCTCAGTACAATAAAAGATGGTGACGCAACTTCGTGGCTTGGTTGAGGTTAGACATTAACACCAGTGAGTTAAGCGTTCGCGCACGAGACTGAACGCCCTGGGTTCGAACCTCGCAAGCGAGGTCGTGGATGTGCACCACTGAGGAGTCCCACAATAGGACGAAACGGCCATCCAGTGCTTCCAGATTTCCAAAGGTGGTGGTCTAACATTAATCGGTTCATGATCTCAATCATAAACCCTAACGTAGAGTTTTTCAACAACAAATTCTAATTGACTGATAGTGAAAAATATAATTCATTGGTACCCAATACACAAAGGATTTACATAGATCTCATGTAGAGATTATAACCATTAGACTTCCGGTATGGTACACGTAAACAAAACAACACATTTAACACTTGTTGCTTAAAGTTAAATCATGATGAATAACCACTAATAAACTAACCAAACCACCAACAACGAACCCCACATCAAATAAGTCATCGGCGAGACTATAATTTGTGGACGACCTTTGAACGAATCTCAAATGACCTTGGAAAATACTAGCTAATCAGGGAACAGTCAGTAAAGAGGAAAAATTTTTTATGCAAAACCAAAGAATCAAAGAGGATAAACATCTTCTATATGGTTCAAAAACCTGACATGGTTAAAAAAAGTTCAGAGGTTCTAACATCGTATGGTAGAGGAAATCATTCGCATGGCTCGATAATAGTCAGCCTCTGGAGTCATGATCAAGTCGCAAAAACTATTTTAGCCTTGATCATATAGCGTCAGTATTATGTGTGCATCCTGGTTGTGCAAGCGCGTCATTTTTATTACATATATGTCTCTACAATATTCATACTACTTAACAGCCGAAGTTTCAATAACATCTGCAAATATTGCAGCCAATGTTGCTGGTGCTTTTATTATATAGTTCACGATAATTATCAACAATTTTCGAGAGAAAAAAAAATTGCTATTCTATCAGACTTCTTCCTCCAACATATATCACATTGAAAGACAACATTATCACAGTAGTCTGCACAAGTCATTTGATTACCACAATTACATACAAATGAACTTCTTAGTAGTCCCAATTTGTTGTAGCCACTCCATTATCACGTCTTCCTTAAAATCCTCTATGAACCTATTGTACATGAGCATCAGGTACTGAAATCGGTGCCATGACCCTGAAACCTCTCAAACACTTCTGATTGGCTGGCCCCTAAATCATATTCTCTCTATGTTATCGTTTTATAGAGTTAGAAATCAACGTTGATAATACTGATTTCCATTAACAAATAAATAAAATCGTGTATCTAGACCTGTAAAATGATGAAAATAATATCAATAGTTGAGATCATATGTCAATTGAAGCTAGACCACCATGGAAAACCTTCAACCACAGGACGACCGTTTCATCCAATTGTGGGACTCCTCACCGTTCGATGCTGACTCCCTAGTCTAGTGGTTAAGCGCTCACGCACGAGACTAATAGGTCTTGGGTTCGAATCTCACGAGGCGCGATCGTGGATGTGTACTACTGAAGAGTCCCACACTAGGACGAAACGACCATCTAGTGATTCCAGGTTTTCTATGGTGATCTAGCTTCAATGGACTCATCATCTCAACTATTGAAATTACTACAATCTCCACAGAACCGTTTTTCTGAAAATAATATCAGACTAGAAGTGAATTTTTACAAACGTAAAAAGAAAAGTACAAAATACAAACAAACTATCTACTATGACAAATAAACCACACCTAAACAATCAAAATTTACTACTGAACAAAATATCAGTAACTAAGCAACGTTCATAACAAAAAATCTTTAGAATAATTTTACAAATTTACTTTGGTTAATATGCTAATATGCTAATTATGTAATAAATAAAATAAATAAATTAAAAAAAAGGAAACATAGAAAAATGATCTCAAAATTGACTTAGTAACTAAGTTTTAACTTGATTCATGTACTATTTGATGAATAGTTTCAGTTTAAATATAGGCTATTCACTACACGTTTTGCTATATTGCATAAGTGATGAATAATGAAATTCAAGAGTTACATGTTATTCGATTTGAAAACTAATTGAAATTCAGTTCTGAAACATAAATAATGACGAGTGCAAAATATATCCACAAGATAAGTTAGTGAATATTTAAACTCAAGTTTAGGATTTGAAGCAACGAACTGAAATGAAGCACCATCCACAGTGAGTATAAGTTATACATTCACGTGGAGCGGTGGGCCAGTAGTTCAAGTACAAGACTTTAGATGGTGGTTGAAGGTAACCAACAGGAAACCCTAGATCCGGGTTTTGTGCTACTTGGCACTCGTCAACAAGGTGTACATATAATATGGAGGGAATGGATGCGCCCTGACTGGTTTCATCCCGTGTCATCCAGCTTCACAGTCACAGACGTTACCGATGGGCTATCCGGGTCGCCACTAACCTCCTATAGGATCAATGTCATGTATGTCAGATCCTTCTTAGCGTAGATCGAATCCTATTAACCAAGTTGTAATATGACCACCAGATTAGGTGGCTTGACATTGCATGCACTATGTTGAGATCAGATGGTGGTCGATAGGATTCGATTTGCACTAAGAAAGACCTGACATACATGACATTGATCACCATCCAGTGATCAATCGAGTACGCAAATCAAATGACTAATGTGGCACATATGTATTCGATGCCCCTTTGTACCAATACTTACGTGTTCAAACAAATAAATACAAGACTTTTAACCACTACATTTTAGTCCTGCCTCACCTACTTCACTCCCGACAATTAGATCTCTGGCCCTAATAAATAAACTGAACTTCTAATAGAAATAAAGATGTATTACGTACAATGCATTACTTATTTACCCCAAAAAAATGTAAAGGATATTAGATTCTAATCAATGCTTATCGTATTTTACAGCTACATGTCTAAATTAAAAAGGAATAGTTAGGTTGAGGGTAAATACACCTTTTAGGAAATACAGTACATAAACAGAGATCTTCGAATAAAAAAGATAGTTTTGTTAGCTACAGTTTTATAAATGTTGAATTGACCATTATGTAATGAAATACTTGAATTATTATTCTGATTATTAGTCAATTTACTCAATCCTACAAACTGCATTATCTAGATCATTACATACGATGCATCTAAACGACATGGATCTATTTGACTAAAACAAGTGGAAACAATCACAACTCAAATAGATTACTTAACAAGTAAGAATTTGAAAGATGATCATTTAAATAATGATCAAATTAGTCAAGATTCATTTAATAGATCCTAAATTTGAACACTTCTCTATCGACTTCATCATCTTGAATAAAAATAGGTGGTTGTATTAAACCTCATGAATAAAATATGTTGTACACTTATTAATCATAAGTTTGTACACTCAGAATTTAGTCACACTGTTTATATGTAGAAAACTGTTACCATCTAGTTGCTAGGAAAGAATTTAAAAGAATAGGATTCGAACCTGTAACTTATTGTTTGAGAATCAAAATTGTTCAACCATTAAAACATCATTTCACAAGTTATTATTTCAAGCTTTAAAAACAATCGACTTATTGCGTTTTACACACCCTTAATTCAAACTTTATACTATAGTAAATGATTGAAGCTATTATATTCCACAGAATAATAATTAGCTAATCTTATTTCTACTAATAATAATCATACAGTCAGTCAGTCAGTTAAAACGTATGGCCAGGCACATATATGCATCGGTCCAAGTTGCCATACCTCATTAACACAACAAGATGGACACCGGATTCATAAAAGTAGTTACTTCAGAGGTGGTAACATATAAAAGAAAGATTGCAATAAGGATATAGTACAGAAAGAAAGAATTAGTTCGTAGAAACAGACGTATCAAACAATTTTAATCTTGTAGTTTGAAGAAAGACAAAGAGTGTATACACTGACCCCATTGTGATCGATTCTGAGCCATGTCACACACAGTCTCCAACTGTTGGTTACGGTAGTCACACGGACCCCAACCAAGTAGTATGCATCCACTAACATGGCTCAGACTACAAGTTAGTGATTTTAAGGACTGATATCACGTTTTGGTTTGGCCGCCCCTAACTTTCTTCCGACCATCTCCAACACCGGTTAGCATTGTGCATCGTGGTAATCAGTGTTCAGGTATGTGTAACACGTGTCCTAACCATCTCAGTCGATGAAAATTCACAACCTTATCAACTGGTTTACCATCATTCCCTAATACCCTACGCATAACCTCACTATTACTTACCCGGTGATCGTACATTTTACTAGTAAAGGTCTCCTGAGTTAAGTAGTATGTTATGTTAGTTGTCTCGGTTATTATAGGTTTATAGGGTACTACATATGATTTTATTTTTATTTATTTATTACACATAAATATTGGTACAAGAGGGCACCAAATATATGTGCGCCACACAAAACAATGAGAAGTTGAAGAGAAGAAGGAAAAAAGAAGGTTAGGAGCGTAAAAAAAGGAACGATAACGAACAGATTAGTGTAAGGTAGCGAATAACAATAATAATAATGCAGGAGACGGAAAGGTACAATCTGAAGAAGAGATCTTTCAGTTAAGAAAGAAGCAACCACTTTTTAGGAAGAAAGTAAAAGAAGGTTACAGCAGGATCGCCACTGACTTTTATTCTGAGCCATTATTATTTATTATTATTATTTGAACACATATATATTGATACAAGAGTGCGCCAAATATATATGCGCCACACAATTTCAGTTCATTAATTGCGTGTGGACTGCGATACTGCCCGGGTGCCCAGACCGAAGCAGGTGGTTATCTTAGGGGGCCACAGCCCGAGCCTTTGACCTAAAGGTCTCACCCACAAGGCAGTGGAGCATCGTAAGGAGATGCAGTCCCATGGTAGCCGGTGACCGAAAATTGGTTCATACGCCATTTGTTCCCGCAGGATACTGGAGCCCATGTGCACCATAGATTTGGAATCCGGTTAAAGCACCGGACATTCGCTTTTCGTCCTCTCATATTCGTAAACAACACCCCCGCCACGAGAAGGCAATGAGTAGGACTTCCCTGGCAGAGGCTGTATACGCGCGGCCGTGTGAGAGTATATCGAGAGGGAGGGCGAACCCACCCCGCTCTCGGCCATACCAGGGCATTTCTGATAACGTCTCTAGCCACTGTGTTGCACCATCTCTCGGAACCCAACCAGGGAGTCATGAAGGATCAACACAAGGCAGCCCTTTGCAGCTTTCTTTCATACCCCGACACCATGTCATACACTGACCACCTCTCCGCTTTTTCCAGCCTGTCGGCAAATAATGCACGACGTGGAATTCTCTGGGACGATATTCGTAGAACATTACTATTATTACTCCATCTGATTTGCCACAAATACATAGCATAAAACACAACCTTAACAATTTTAACAGTTAAGATTTTGCACTAATATATATATAATTTAAAAAGCCTTCATTGGAATAAGTATACCAATATACTTACTAATCTTCGAGATAATCCTGTTGAAGTAAAACTCGATTGTCCGACAGCATTATGATTATCTATACTCAATGTTTCTGTGGAACTTTTATGATGATGTTCAGATACTGGAGATGATTCAAAAGGTAGGAAACAACTTGGTTCAAGGAATTCTAGAGAATAAAATTAAAGAAATGAATAGGAAAAAAGAGAAAAAGACATTAATCATGATAAGAAATAAGATTTGAAGGAATATCCTATAAAATTAGTTCCGTTTATGAATAAAGACAGAACAGAGATTTATCCAAAAGAAGATAAATCACTTTTATTTCGGGTACTTTTTCAAGGCTTGAATAATTGAACAGCTTAATATCTAATCGATAGTGAACATATCATCCAACTTACTAAATCATTCAAAATCATCAACAGACAATAAAATGTAACTTGTTTACGTTTTGCTAAAACGATATTCACAAAATCCCTTCTGATATTAATCAACATATACTCATTAATGACGGTCTTCAAGAGGTATTTCCTGAAGTTCTAGTGGGAAGCAGTGACTAGTGGAGTTCAACTGGGTCTGTTGTGAGATAGTAACTCACTGAAGACAATGGTGGATGTGTCACTCAATTTAGTGGGCTAGTTGAAGTTAGACGTTAACATTGTTGGATGCCGGCCGAGTCAGTGTTCTAGAGGTTAAGCGCTTGTGCACGAGACTGATAGGTCTTGGGTTGAAACCTCGCGAGGTGAGATCGTGGATGCGCACTGCCGAGGAGCCCCACAATAAGACGAAACGGCCGTCCCGTGCCTTCAGGTTTTCGATGGTGATCTAGCTTCAACTGACTTATGATCTCAACTATAAAATACAATTTCTATTGAAAAAAATGAAACCGAATTTATGTATTCAAAAAAAAATAGTTGCCCATTTATCACTATCATGGTGAATCCATGATTCAGATTAAAATCATTTCCTACTATTATTATGAATATTATTACTGGTATTTTGTCATCCAGTTTTCATTTCTTTAGGTGATCCGTGGAGCTAAACTGTGGCGGGTGTGAAACCGTTACCCACAGAAGACAATAAAAAATGGTCACCCAATATCGTAGATTGATTGAAATTGAAAATAAACATCGTTGAATGCCGACTTAATAGTCTGGAGGTACAGCAATTGGGCGTGAGACAGAAAATATTGAGTTCAAATCTTGGTTGCGGTGCCATAAGTGAGGACTGCTGAGTTCCAAATCAGGACGAAACGAACATTTAGTACTTCCATGTTTTCAATAATGATCTATCATTGATCAGCTCATGATTTCAATGTAACTTTACCACTGTAAGATTATCTTTTTCAGTGATAGAAATCTTAAGCTCGTATAAACTTTTCGAATCATCTATAGCTATTATACAATCCAAAAATCAATCAACACTACTCTAACTCAATTGTTCTTCTGATTTCATTCAAAATCAAATCAAATAATAAAAAGTTAGAAATGAATGGTTATACCTTGGAAATTCAGTTGAAAGAAGATCGTCTGGTTGCAGACTACAAATGTACGTGTTATGTTTTTAACTTTCAAAGATTTTAATCAGATGAAGATAGACAAAATTTATTACCTTTTTTTAAATTTTCCGGTGAACAATCTACCAATTCTTTCGATGAATTTGATTGAACTTCTGACTCAGCTCGTATAGCTGTTATTAAAAATGCAGATAAACGACTAGTATTTGAGTGTATCAATTGTCGATAATTACCCAATTCAATTATTTGACCATCAGACATTAGACCAACACGATCAGAGAATGGTAAAGCTTTTGGACTATGTGTAGTAAGAATACATGTTTTAGAAGCAAGTAGACCGTTGGAACGACTTAATACATATTTCAGTAAATGTAAACCAACATGTGCATCAACAGCTGATAATGGATCATCTAACAAATAAACATCAGCATCAGCATAGCATGCTCTAGCTAGGCTAATAACAACAAAAAGAAAATAAACGGTACATAAACGTATAAAACATGATATTGATTACACTATAACAAATGGAAATTAGTTGTCATTACCGAAAATTAGGTTGCATAAAAGATAAACCAGACATTACCAATCATATAGTCGTTTTTGAGCCATGTAAAACTTCTCTATTGTTTGAAGGGAAATAGAGTTATCTTGATTTGTAAATAACAATAGCTGAATATGTACTCAAATCGCTCTAAAAAAGATTCGATAGTCCGCCGAGAGTGGAGAGAGTCAGCTCTCCCTCTCCAAATGCTCTCACATGGCCACGCGTACACAGCCACTGTCAGGGAAGTCCTACACACTAAATTTTCGCGGTATTACTGTTGTTTACGAAATTAAAAGGACGAAAAGCGGGTTGATGGAAATGGAGGATTCACCTAGGGGAGTTGGAAATCCTGATTCCAAACCAATGATGCACAGTATCCTTAAGGACCAAATGGCTTATGAACCTGTTGTTGGTCATCGGCCACCATGGAACTACATCACTTGACGTTGCACCACTGCCTTGTGGATCAGGCCTTTAGGTTGAATGCTCCAGGTGTGACCCCTTAATAAAACCAACTACTTCGGTTTGGGCGACCGGGAAGTTTCCCAACCCCTCACATAATTAGAATGATTTACAGGGGCATATCTATTTGCTGCCTCCATGTACCAATGTTTATATGTTGAAAAAAATAAAATACACAAGGTATATACTTAAGTTTGTTAATAACTTACTAATGAGGAAATTTTAACTACCTTACTATATACCTCCCTCTATATAAAAACCTATCATAAGTATTATTGATTTTACCATTCACAGGTATATGATTAATGTTGTCTACCATTATGATAATCATCATCATCATCATCGTTGTTTCTCTTATTCATCTAGTTGTTCAAAATGTAAATAAACTTGATGAAACACATTGAGCTAATATATCAAATCGTTTTGATAAACTTTCTTTTCATTTTGATATCATGTATAGGATAACTTTTAAAAACAAAAAAGGCTATATGATTATACTAACAAGAAACCATTTACTGAATTAAACTGGAAACCTAAAACTTTTATTATAAATCAATGGACCTTCAATACAGTGTGAATAACTCTTGGAAGATCAATGATGACGATGACGTTATGTTCAAGTATAAATTATTGTCAGTCAGTCAACTATAACGTAGGACAACGCATATAAACGCATCGGTCCAAGTTGCTACACCTTACTCATTAGCACAACAAGATCAACACCAAATTCATAGAAGTAGTCACTTCAATGGTAGTAATATTATATAAATAAAGATTCTATATAAGGATATGATACAGGGAGAAAGAATTAGTTTGTAGAAATAAACGTATAAAACAGATTTAATCTTTTAGTTTAAGGAAAGACAACGAGTGTATACACTGACCCCATTGTGATCGATTCTGAGCCATGTCACACACAGTCTCCAACCGTTGGTTACGATAGTCACGTGGACTCCAACCAAGTAGTATGCATCTACTAACATGGCTCAGACTACAAGTTAGTGACTTTAAGGACTGATATCACGTTTTGGTTTGGCCGCCCCTAACTTTCTTCCGACCATCTCCAACACCGGTTAGCATTGTGCATCGTGGTAATCAGTGTTCAGGTATGTGTAACACGTGTCCCAACCATCTCAGTCGATGAAAATTCACAACCTTATCAATTGGTTTACCATCATTCCCTAATACCCTACGCATAACCTCACTATTACTTACCCGGTGATCCCAGTAGATTCGAGCAATATTTCTAAGAGATCTGTGGTGAAATACTAGCAATCTACGAGTATCTTCTACTCTTAATGGCCACGTTTCGCGGCCGTTAAACAGGACAGAACGAACTGCCGCGCAGTACACTCATTCTTTAATTGATAGATGGATATCTCTCTTTCGCCATAGGTGACGTAGGTTGCCAAAAGGCAAACAAGCTTTTCGAATGCGTACAGAGATTTCATCAGACACCAAGCCATTAGAGTTGATCAGACTACCAAGATAATTGAAGTTATAGACGCGTTCGACTACTCCACTTCCTATCTTTAGTTTAGGTGTTGAGGCAGGCCAGTCCTGAAGCAACAAGTTACATTCAGAGGGGGAGAAACGTATTACAAACATCCTATGATTGTTTCTGAGTACTACCAAAAGACTCTGTATTTTATCAGAGTTTTCACCAAACAGGACTATGTCATCTGCGTATTCTAGGTCGATGAGTGGACCTCCTGGCTAAACTTTATAGTAAAAACGATTAGAATTTAGTTAGAAGTAATTGGTTTTAGATGAATACCTTACAGTATTCGATCATGAAACTTTTAAACAAATACCAGTAGGCTTCTTTGAAAGAGTCCCTAAAATAAGAAGTCAGGTTATTATGAATTTAATTAGCTGGGCGTTTTCAAATTTCACTAATTTTCCATTGAATAAGTTCTTTTGATTAATTTTTAAGAACATGAATTCAAAAAATACATTGTGGGATAGATGTGAATTCGTTTCATTGTGTGAGCTTTAAAACTTCTACATACTCACTAATATTAGTATCAATAAACTGAATAAATTAATTTTCGCCCCCGGAATAGCCGAGAGTGGAGAGAGTCAGCTCTCCCCTTCTAAATGCTCTCATATGGCCGCACGTATACCGCCAATGTCAGGGAAGTTCTACTGTTGTTTACGAAATCGAGAAGACGAAAAGCGATTGTCCGGCGATTTAACCAGTTTGATGAACACGGAGAGTTTACTTAGGGGAGTTGAAAAACCCTGATTCCAAACCAATGATGTATATGTGCTCCAAGGTCTTGCGGAAACAAATGGTGTATGTACCTATTGTTGGTCGCCAACTACCATGGAACTGTGTGGCGCATATGTATTCGATGCCTCTTTATATCAATATTTATGTATTCAAATAAATAGAATTTCAACATTAACTATTTATACCAAAAGAAAACAATGAAATAGGATAATATCTCATTAAAACTATTCTAGTTACCTGACACGTTGTTTTTGTCCACCTGATAAATTAATACCTTTATCACCAATTTCAGTCATATCACTATTAGGTAATAAATCAAGATCTGGGATTAAATTACATGCATGTAATACTTGTTGATATTTAATTGGTTCATATGAATGATGAAATAATATATTATCACGTAATGTTGCATTAAATATCCATGGTTGTTGTGGTACATAAGCTACAGTACCCTATAACGTGTTTCATAGATATAAAATACATAAGTTTAGATATATATAATGTAAAATGAATATGTACAAATAAAATTATGAAGTATATCAATCAATTAACCGGTAAAATCCCAAATGACCTGGTAGAGCTGAGAGTAAAGAGAGTCAGCTCTGTTTTCCTCTCCAAATGCTCTCAGATGGTCATATGTATACAACCACCATCAGGGAAGTCCTACTCATCGCCATCTCATGGCATTATTGTTGTTTACAAAATTGAGAGGATGAAAAGTGAATGTCCGGTGCTTTAATCGGGTTTATGTGTTTAAATAAATAATAATAAATTAACCGGTATATTATAATATATCATTAAATAATATTTTTTTAACCAACGAGATCACTGAGACTGTCTAACTTCAACCAATCGACGAAGTTGCGCCACCGTACACCATTGTCTTCAGTGAGTTCCTATCTCACAACAGATCTGGTTGAACTTTACTGGTAACGGCTTCTCACTAGAACTCCAGGAGTATCTCTTGAAGTCAGTTACTAGTAAGCAGATGATGATTATCAGAAGGGGTTTTGTGGAGATTTTAGTAATTTCACTGGTTGAAATATTGAAATACTGTTTTTTTTATTAATCACAGTAAATGAACTAGTAACTAAAATTAGATAATTGACTTTAATATATTATTATTCTGAAAACCATAACGAATTTCTATCCGATTAACAACTGAATGAGTAAATTAAATTTATATCAGAAGGGGTTTTTCTAGTGGATATTATAGTAATTTCAATAGTTGAGATCATGAGTCTATTGAAGTTAGATCATCATAGAAAACTTCGAAGCACTAAATGGCCGTTTCGTCCCATTATGGGACTCCTCAGCAGTATGTATCCACGACCACACCTCACGAGATTCCAACCCAGGAACTATCAGTCTCGCACACGAGCGCTTAACCATTAAAATTCTGAGCTGACCAGTATCCAATGGTGTTAATGTCTAACTTCAACTAATCCACGAAATTCAGCGATAAATTATTAGTAGAATAATTTTGTATGATATTGTCTAATTAGATTGTACAATTACAAATTTCAACAAATTAAGATTATAAGACATAATCTTCATGAATAATGATCTATATTATAACTCTTTTAATCACTAATACCGTGGTCCGTGCTACTTATAGTGATATAAGTAGTATATGACGCGAGTCAGGAATGTAATAATCTGGCGGTAGAAAATGGGGAAGATCAAGAAAGGAAGAGCGAGAATAGAAAGCAATTAGTATGGAAATGTAAGAACAATGGTGTTCGAGATAATTATTGAGCATTTGGCAAATTAAGTATTATAGTATGGTTTTTGTATTTTACAAAGTAACTCTGTAATTTTTTGCTTAATATGATTCCATTGTTCTCACTCGTGTTCCGTTCACTACAATACAACCATATATAAGATTAGTTCTGTATTATTAGTAATATGGTAATATCAATCTACTACTTATGAAAACTGATTAACACTGTCATCATCTGATTTGGTGAACTATCATAAGCTAACTAGTCTCCTTAATCCATAATACTTAAGCAGAAAAAAAAAAAGACGTCGGTATCAAAAACGTGATACTCCACCATATACATAACAACTCCTTGATATCTTTACTTATATCTTAAAGTTAGATCAACCTCCTTTTTCTCATTGAACTTGGTCATCATCAATGAATTTATTATCTGTGGAATGTGAAATCGTTATGAAGAGATATCATTAGGCATATAATGAAACAATAAAAGAAGTGAAGAAATATATGTATGAAGAATGCCACTTCAAAGGAATTTCAACAATATTTTAAACAATGGCAATGAATATAAGAAAAGTACATGGTTATTAGTAAATGTTTTGAATGGGATAAATTTGGCTTACATAAATTTTATAGAACAGACTTTATTGGGACTGTAATGTTTTTAGTGATAATTATATTAACACTAACGTGAGACTATAATTTATGAACGACCTTTCAGTGATGATAAAGTGACTTGGAGAGTGTTCACATAATAACTAGGACCAAATGAAGGTTATAAAACATTGTGGGAGGGGGATTAGAATTATGATTTACAGTTGATGGTTAGAGTTAGGAATAAGATTTAGGGGGGGGGGGGTCATCACGAACTGACATCAACTATAATGCTAAAACTCTATTTAACCAAATGGATGGATGAATTTCACGCCAAAATTCGAGACCTGTTATATTATGCCTGATTGGTTCGCCCATAAATTATAGTCTCGCCAAACACTAATACCAATAATAATGATGATAATAATAATAATAATAATAATAATAATAATAATACAGTACGATAATAAATGATTTCCAAAAACCAAAGATTTTTAATAAGCAGTGATGGAGAGTGGTTAGCAGTGGAATCCAGGACGCGCGTTTCGTCCCATTTGGGACTCGTCAGCCGGATGCATCAGCATCTGTTCACTTTGGGACTCGAACCTAGTACCATTCGCTTCAAACGCCATCGCATCATCCACTTAGCCACTGAGTCCTGATAGCCACTTGCTTGTGCAATGGGGTGAATTTTAATTCACTTGGATAACAGACTGATCAATTGCAGTCTCAAACCTCAATGGGAAGATTACTTACTTACTTACGCCTGTTACTCCCAATGGAGCATGGGCCACCGACCAGCATTCTCCAACCCACCTTGTCCTGGGCCTTCTTTTCTAATTCCATTCAATTTTTGTTCATTTTTCTCATGTCTATCTCCGTTTCTCGGTATAATGTGTTCTTTGATCTTCCCCTTTTCTTTTGGCCTTCAGGATTCCATGTGAGGGCTTGTCTTGTGACTCAGCTGGGTGCTTTCCTCAATTTGTGTCCTATCCACTTCCAGTGCTTCTTCCTGATTTCTTCCTTCACTGGGATCTGGTTTGTTCTCTCCCACAGTACGTTGTTGCTAATAGTGTCCGGCCAACGGATCTGAAGTATTTTGCGTAGACAACTGCTAATAAACACCTGTATTTTCTGGATGATGGCTTTCGTAGTTCTCCAGGTTTCTGCCCCATACAGTAGAACTGTCTTGACATTTGTATTGAAAATCCTGACCTTGGTGTTGGTTGACTGTTGCTTTGAGTTCCAGATGTTCCTCAGTTGTAAATATGCTGCTCTTGCTTTGCCGATCCGCGCCTTCACATCTGCATCAGATCCACCCTGTTCCAATGGGAAGATACAAGCCAAATAATACCAAGTCAAAGATTTTTTGTCCAGTTATCCTTCATCGCCATTCCACTTTCTGTGTTAATTCATATTTTATTGTAGAGAAGATACACCATGTGCATTATCAAGTAATGTACTCAACGATTTACTGACAGTCGTAGTTTCGAAAAAGGTTGAACCATATTAACACAAAGTCCTATTTTATTCAATGCAATCGATGATGATCATATGTTGGCTAGTAGTAAGGATATGATACAATTAATTTTAGTGTACTATACTTATCTAACAAGTCTTGAACTCATGTATAAACCATTGATCCATCAACCAGTATTCTTAGTCTCCAACTTCAATCAATTGACAGTAATGCATAATCATGAGAATAATTTACATGAAATAGACTTTATATTTAAACCGGCGTTTCGGATGGATTATCCAAAGGTCATTTTAATGAAGGACTATTTAATCACTAATCATTCTCGTAGATAGTGACTTGTAATGTATATGTGTTAATATAGGCATCGCTGAAAAATTGTGCGTCATTTTTAACCTGAAAGCACTGGACAGTCGTTTCGTCCGCAAGAGGGATCGTGGATGCACACTGCTGAGGAGTCCCACAATGGGACGAAACGACCGTCTAGTGCTTTCAGGTTTTTAATAGCAGTCTAACATTAATCCGTTCATGATCTCAATCAATAACTTAATAATCTCCACAATTCCATACTGATAATTACTATGTGTTCACTAGTGACTAGCTTCGTGAGAGAATTCTCAGAGTTCTAGTAAGAAGCCGTGACCAGTGGAGCTAATCCGTGTCGGGCAGAGACAGGTATCTACCTTAGTACAATGGAAGATGGTCGCGCGAATTCGTGGATTGGTTGAGGTTAGACATTAACCCCATTGGATGCCGGCTCAGTTATCTATTAGGTTAGGTAAGTAGGTTAGGTTGTATTATTCAGCATAACACTTATATAGAGTCCATAAATGAATCTTCTTCAATATATTATAATTTTACCAAGTAATTTCTGAGGATCTAGAATCTCAATACTAGGACAAAAGAGTTATTCAGTCCCTTTGAGTTTTCAATAATAATCTAGTTAGGATCTGTACGTGACTGAAATTATGAAAGATGACTCTGTCACTGCCATATTTATTGATCTTTTATGTTATAGATTTCCTTATTGTCATCAAATATATGACAAGAACAACAACAACAACAGCAGTTTACCTATAAAATGATTCTAATAATCATGAAAGAAATAACAAATAAACTCAGAAATATACTTGTTTTTATCAAAATAATAAATATCTTACTTTAACATTAACTCGACCATTGAAATTTTCCATATCACCAAGTAATGCATGTAATAAACTTGATTTACCTGAACCTACACTACCCATAATTGTTGTCAATTGACCTTCAGGGAATTGAATAGAAATGCTATAGATATAAATAAATACATAGTTTATGTTTGAGTATAGGATGGAGATAGAGAAGAGTGAATACAGTAAAAAAAAAAAAGATATCATTGGTAAAATGAACGAGGTATTACTGTTATTCACTACTATAATAGGTGTTTTTGAAAGTGATAAAGTAATTTCAGATTGTAACAAGTAGTTGGATTTAGGATGTATTTTTGCATGTCACTATTGATAGACACACTATGATTTGAAACTAGAATATATTGCATCTAGCATGAGTACTGATGAATTCACCTAGCCCACTTGTTGTAATGTGGCAAAGGTTGATATATATATATATATATATATATATATATATATATATATACTCGTTACCAATCATCAGAACTTCATATGATTAGTCTGTTGCATAGTGCATGGAATTAAATTTTTAAGGTTTTCATCATGAACTGACATTAGTTATAATGGATGAGTGAATTTCGCGCAAAAATTCGACACCTGTTATCTTATACATGATTGGTTCGTCCATAAATGATAGTCTCGCCGACGATATCACAAAAATATAGATGACATGACTTGAAAAACATGTGACATTAAAAAACTATTTCATCCTAATACGACGAGACTACTGTGTATATTCATAATACTATTAAGGATTGTATATAGGATTTTCAAGTCTTCCAATGAGTATATTCCCTTTATAACATTAAATCGGTATTCCATGGTTTATTTTAATCAACTTGGTTACACCTGATCGAGTGTTTAAGTTCGCACACATGTACAAAAGAGAGATAAATATGTACACAAAAATATTTTATATCGTTATAATTAAGAGTTTAAGTTAACCCGTTATTGATATTCACGCTTAGATTTTGCTTAGTGCTTATTGGCATATGTGAGCTCAGTGTGAACTACCTCCAAATAGCCATAATCTCACAAGTGGAATGCAGGGTACATGTTACATCTTATTTAGCACTTGTCAGCTGAATGTATCCATATTCCATTGTATTGATTCACATTGGGGCTTCAAACCAGTACAAATAACTTCAAACGTCAAACACGGGTACTTAAATCAGATAGCGATTAACTTGTTCAGTCTATCTACCATAAACAACTTACGACTCAACGGCTATGTTGAAGCAATCCATACATGAATCATATATGCCAAAAAACACTGATTTAAATCCCCGTCCTAAATATCAACAATGAGATCATTTAAACACATTATAACCAGTGAATCAATTAGTAGCCAAATGGTCTTAGCAGACTACTCGATAATCCGATATGCATTTGAAACAAAACACAAAGTTAGAGTCTCAATGTGAACATCAACACATACCGATATACATCTAACTGAAACGTTTCAAGTAAAATGAAACATACATTCTGAATTCTGTTACCAAGTACAATTGATCTATTCTCAATAGAATAGTTCTTGCAAATCAACAACATAAGAAATCAAGTATAAAATTTGTCATTCAACTTATTCATTAAATCATAATCTTGATCTATGTATGAAAACAAACAAACAACATTCCAATTCATCACTAAAATTTTGATGAAATAACCCTTTTGTAAAGTTTAACCTCATTTCATATCATATAGACATAGATCAATTTAAATGAGTTCATTATAACAAATAGACTAGACAAAAGAGTAAACATTCCATTATGAAATTGATTCATTAATATACAAAGTATCAACTATAGATGATAGAACTAATAATACAAATGAATGAAAAAATTTATATCTAAAAAGAATTTATCACTTCATTAATAAACAAATAGTAATATCATGATATATCATCATCGTCATCATTTCATGTCATTCATATGAACATTACTGATAATAAAGTATGATAAACCATCATGGAAAATGTGGAAGAACTAATGACTGGCTTCAAGCGGTATATCCTGGAGTTTTAGTGAGAAGCAGTGACTAGTGAAGATCAACTGGGTCTGTTGTAAGATAGTAACTTACTGAAGACAATGGTGGATGTGTCACTCAATTTCGTGGATTGATTGAAGTTACACACTAACACTTTTGGATGCCGGCCAGGCTCAGTGTTCTACAGGTTAAGCGCTTGTATGAAAGACTGCGTTCAAATCTCTCAAGGCGAGATTATGGATATGCATTATTGAGGAGTCCCATAATAGCACGAGACAGCCGTCCAGTGCTTCCAATTTTTCTATGGTGGTCTAGTTTCAATTGACTTATGATCTTAATTATTAAAATTACTATATTATCCACAAAACCCCTTCACATTATTATAAATCTATTAAGGTCAGTGGAAAATAGTCATACAATATTGTCAACTGACTGAAGTTAAACACATAGTTCATAATTTAAGTTATAAAATAACATTATGAAAAGAATCAGTTAGATACATCATAAGGAAAGATCTGGAGTGATTAGAAGGTAGACAGAAACGATTACACTAATGACTGACAAAATAAGCAAGCTAAGTCTTTCTTTAAAAAATCTGTATGTTTAATAAATGGGTTACAAACATAAAATGACTGTGTTAATCATCCGCTCCTCAAAAATAATGAGCAAGCAAAACCAGTAGGTCCTGGGTTCGAATCTCGCAGAGGGTGAGGTCGTGGATGCGCACTGCTGAGGAGTCCCATACAAAGACGAAACGGCCATCCAGTGCTTCCAGGTTTTCCATGGTGGTCTAGCTTCAATTGACTCATAATTTCAACCAGTGAAATTTCTAAAAAAAAATCTCTACAAAACCCCTTCTGATAAGTAGATAAATAATTAAAATCTACGGATCATTGAACAGACATTTGATTTTAACTTATAGAAACTTTATCTTTGTCTACCAACAACTTCTGATAGGAAAGAATTTTGTATTTACACATTTTGAAGCACTGAACGGTCATTTCTACCTAGTATAGGATTCCTCAGCAGAGCGCATCCACGATCCTACACATGAGACTTGAACCTATGACCTATGGTCGTGCACGCGAACTAGATATTAGTGAAGTGTTGTTATTCAAGGAACATAATTAAAATACAAAAACATGGGATTAACAGTAAGTAATTAATAAAATTCTTAGAAATAAAAAAAAGACCAAACCTCAATCATATTCACTTAGAAACCTTAACGAACATGAGGTACACCCTAAACATTTTTTAGATTATTCAAAACGTAACGATACTTTTAAACAATTAAGCTAGAATTCATTAGTTCAGAATCATATCACTACTAATAAGTCAGTCTGTCAATCAGTGTATCAGTCCTAAGCAACATAGAACATGGTACATATGTTCATCTATTCAAATTGCTACATCAAATTAGTACAAGGAGATGAAATGATCAAATACCTTCGTTTCGTTTATCCTTACTATAAACAATTTCAGTTCAAAAACTGTTATTTCTAGTCTCCAGGAACTGAGGTCTAAACAATAAGCTTTCGTGTTCGAACTTGGTGTTCAATCGAAACAGCAAGCTTTATTGGCTAAGGTTCTAAAATCTCGTGTCGCTGACATCTACCGCCTCTCTGAAACTCCTATACACGATCCAAGCATAATAGTTAATAGGGAGAACTTGTACAATTCACCCTTTGTATATCAGAGGAATCGACTGTTAATTCTCATGGTCTGGCTAGTGTAAATATAGTATTTAGTTAGAAACCAGAAGAGGCCGGAACTTGATTACGGTAAACAGTCACTTGTCTGCTGTCCGAATAAACAGAACATAAAGCATGATATTGAATAAGTAAATTTCGAAGACTAAATAAATTTACTTTGTTAAAGTCGGTTCCTCGTCTGGATCCCAACCAAATACTCCACGTTCAACTACTGCAGCTATACCAGGTGTATCCTCTTTTGAATAAGATTCCATATCAAGTTCTGTATGAGCCAAAAATTTAGTCAAACGACCAATAGAAACATAACACTAAAAGAAAAATACAAAAAAAAACATTTTTGTAAATAACAACCTTAAAAAAATTATCTTAATGACTGTTGAGTGTGTTTTTGTACCGACGACATTTACTCACAGACTAAAACAAGCAATATACATTCATTCAGTCACAATAGTGTTACATAACAATATTACAGCTTCACAAGTAACTTCTAAGTGATTAGAAGAAGGAGAATCAGTTAATTATAATAATCTAAGTAATTCACTTGGTATTTGTTTACTTGAATCTTTCATTGAGGCTTAAAACTGCTATTGATCAGTGTGATATAGGCATATGTGCATACTGTACATATTGCCTCGATACTGCCTTAATTCACAAGCATTATAAGCAAAGATGCATAGTGGCTGGCAATGGAATCTAGATTGACGCGCGTTTCATCCTATTTCGGACTCGTCAGCTGGATGAACCTGTATCTCAAAGTTGATCAATTGCAGTCCTAAACATCTATGGGAAGATTCAAGTAAACAACACAAAGTGAATTTCAACTTCACCCTATTACATAAGCAAATGCCCATCAGGACTCAGTAGCTAAGTAGATAATGCGATTACGTTTGAAGTGAATGATACTGGGTTCGAGTCCCTCCTGCAGTGGACGTCAACTCTGAGATGCAGGTACACGTGTCTGAAGAGTCCTAACAAGGACGAAACGCGCGCCCTGTATTTCAAGGAAAATTAAAAAGAACAATGAGGAATCAAAGCTCTGCTTTAACTCACTCTGTTGTGATTTATATTAGTGAGAAAAAAAATAAAGAGATACGTTCTAGAAACTTCTTTTGATTACAACGTTTAGATTATTAAAAATGAATTCTGATAGCTATTGTAACCTATGAAAGACGAACTCTTGAACTATGCAGTAAATTTGATGAAATACAATGCATAATTTTAAAAGCCATATTCAAGTCGAACTGATGTTTTGCATCAATGGAGTGCTGTTTATTCAACTACGTAAGATGGTATTCGGCAGTACGATGACGAACTTGTCACATGGTGTGTGTTTGTGTGTGTGTTATATAACTGGTTTCACAGGAGCTGTTAAATTGATAACTACACAAGGATATAGATAATTTAGATAGTTTGTCTTTGTCAACAGTTTTAATTATTGAACATTTGTGTACCAAAGTTGTTTTGTGATGTAAACCATCGTCTATTATTTATTTGTATCAGAAGGAGTTTTGTGGATATTATTGTAATTTCAATAGGTTGGGATCATGGGTCAATTGAAGCTAGATCACCATGGAAAACCTGGAAGCACTGGATGGCCGTTTCATCGTATTGTTGGACTCCTCAACAGTACGCATCCACAATCCTCTCTCGCGAGATTCGGATCCGAGACCTACCAGTTTAGCGCGCGAGACCACTACCACTAGACTAATTAATGGCAATGGTGAATGTAACGCTCAACTTAGTGGCCATTGGATTCCGGTCGATTCAGTGGTCTAGAGATTAAGAGTATGCATGCGAGACTGATAGGTCCTGTGTTCGAATCTTAAGAGGCGAGATTGTGGATGCACACTGTAAAGGAGTCCTACATTAAAACGAAATGACCGTCCAATGCTTCTAGATTTTCCATGATAGTCTAGCTTCAATTGACTCATGATCTCAACCATTAAAGATATTATTTATTGATACACATAAACATTAGTAGAAGAAGGCACCAAATAGATATGCGCCACATGAATATGTCGACATGTATGAGGGCTGGGATATGATCCGCGATACGCAAATTGAAGAAAGTTGTTTTACTTAATCTTATTTGATGTAACAATCAAGAATGTAAAATAAGGTAATGATATTGATACATTTTGCACCAGCAGTAGCAGTAGTTGTTGTTGTTGTTGTTCTAGTAATAAAACCAGAAAATCTATACACAAATATTTTATCTTTATCCAAGACTAATTCTATATAGAACTAATATCTATACACATTTCTATGATTTGTCCAAATTCTAGTTACTAAGATGAATTAACTTATTTTATGTGAAGTTGCATAGACAACGCATAATGATAAGAGAACTTGGAAGAAAATAATGATAACCCTGTTTTTGTTTGCTTGTCCAAAAATGCGCCTGTTATATTCCATTCTCTGTCATGTATATAAATTAATTTATACAAAAACGATTAGTTCACATGCAAAATATTCATGTAAATGAGTGTAGTGAATTGTTACTATGCTAATAGGTACCAATATAATTTTCTTTTTTTGGGGGGGAAAAAATTATGCAAAATTAATAATCAGTAAATAGATGAAAATGAAAATATAGTAAATTGAATTCCTATTTCTAGTATATGGATAGTTATAGTTCAAGAAGAAAAACTGTCAAACAATGAAATAATAACTGTCAAGTAATATGTTAGTTTCTAATGCGTTTATTGATAGTTATGTTTATGTGATATATAGTTATCCATAATATTAGATGGGATTGAATTATTTAACTTTCTATTGGATTGAGATCATGAATCGATTGATGCTAGACCACCATTGAAAAACTGGAAGCACTGGATGGCCGTTTCGTCCTATTGTGGGACTCCTGAGATGTGCACATCCATGATCCCACTCGTGGGATTCGAACACATGGCCTTCAGTTTCGCGCGCGAACACTTAACCTACTGGACCACTGAACCGGTATCTAATGATGTTAATGTCTAACCGCAACTGATATTTAACTGGATTGAAATCTAGTAACTTTCAAATAAATATCATCAAATTAGTATGAAATGACTGTCCAAATTAGAATATATTCATATTGTTATCACTTTGCGAAAAAATGTTTTAAAAAAACGAAAATGCCATTGTATGGTCGAACGTGGGTGGAGGGGTTCCCTCTCCGAAATACAATCACTGTCAGAGAAGTTCTAATCACAGCCATCTTGTGGTATCAATGTTGTTTACGAGACTGAGAGGATGAAAAGTGAATGTCCGGTGATTGAACCGGATTGGTGGATATGGAGGATCCACATAGAGGAGTTGAATAAACTTGATTCCAAACTAATCGTGTGCATGAGCTTCAATATCCTAAGGAAACAAATGGCGTATGAACCAATTGTTGGTCACCAGCTACCACTGGACTGCATCGCCTGACGTTGCTTCACTGTCTTATGGATAAGACCTTTAGGTGAAAGACTCTGGGTGTGGTCTCCTAATAAAACCACCTATTTCGTTTTGGGCATACGGGCAGTATCTCAGCCCTCACATCAATCGAATGATTTATATGGCGCATAACTATTTGATGCCTCCTTGTGCCAATGTTTATGTGTTTAGATAAATAAATAAATGAATAAACGAAAAAAGAAAGTAATATATTTTCTCATATATCAAACATTCGGCCAATGCTCCTCAAGAAGGGGTAACAGGCGTAAGTAAGTACTTACTTACTTACTTACTTACGTCTGTTACTCGTCGTGGGGGAGCATAGGCTACCCACCAGCACTCTTCATCCAACCCTGTACTGGGCAATCCTTCCCAACTCTTTTCAATTGTCATATTGAGTTACATTGTTTGATAGGGTAGTAATACTTAGATCGATTGATTAAACTGAAATAGTCTCATCATAGAATAAATATGAGATCATTTAATCATTTCATTGAACTTACTTGTGCTAAATTACTTATAATCATTGGAAACATAAATAATGGAAAACGAAGTATATTGAATAGAGATAATGAAACAAAAGCTTTTTGGGCATCTAATATATTCTTATCCGATGTTAATATATATACACCAAAACTAGAAATAGCAACCTAATTAAAGAAAAAACAAACAAAAAGAAATAAGATAACTAAGAAATTAATAAATTTATTTAGTATATAATAGGTAGTCAATCAGTTACAACATAAAACCAGTCCAAGTTACCATATCTCATTAGCACAACAAGATAATCGCCGAATTCATAGAAGTAGTCAGTTCAATAGTGGTAGTAATATATAAAAGAAGGATTGTGTATAAGGATATAGTACAGGAAGAAAAAATTAGTTCGTGGAAAGAAAGATATGAAGTGATTTTAATCTCTTAGTTTAAGGGAAGACAAAGAGTGTATACACCGACTCCATTGTGATCGATCGATTCTGAGCCATGTCACCCACAGTCTTTAACCATCGGTTACGATAGTCACGCGGACCCCAACCAAGTAGTCTGCATTGACCAACATGACTAAGATTAGAAGTTAGTGACTTTGTGGACTGATGTCAAGTTTTGGTTTGGTCACCCCTTACTTTCTTCCAACCATCCCGAACACCGGTTAGCATTGCACTTCGTGATAATCAGTGTTCAGGCATACATAACACGTGGTCCAACCATCTCAGTCGATGAAAATTCACAACCTCATCAACTGATTTACCATCAATGAAAATATACTTGGTATTTCTAATAAATATTACCGATAAATGCAATATAAACTTCATTAACCCTCTACTCTTTAAGATACTCTATATTATATTTACTTATCTTAGCTTTATTTACATCCATTGTGAAAAAAAAATATCTGTGAAAGTATTCAAGATTTAGATACCTTAGGTAATGAATTGATTCTTAACTATATATGTTTCTCTAAAACCATATAGCATTGGTGAACTTTGGTGAAGTTTTGTTCTGTGAGGTGGATGGTTTGGTCGTGGAGCTTTCATCGTTGAAAGCTCCACGACCAAACCATCCACCTCACAGAACAAAACTTCACCAAAATCATCCACCTGAGCTAACAATCTTCTCCACCATCTCAAATTGATGAACTTTTCTAAATTCATATAGTCCCATGTAATTCGTCTGGATGTATATCATTCTTTTGGGTTTTTTTTTACTGAAACACCTGATCCACGTAAATAAAACTGTTCCCATGTATGCTATCCTCAGAAAATGTTGTATCATTACTTATTGAATAGACTATGTAAACAAAACCATAAATATATAAAGAATTTATTATTCAGTACACAAGCTTTGTTCTTATTTATGGTACCCATAATATGGGTGACAATACCAATAAATCAATTGAAAATTCACTATAGATTCTAACTACTTTTCATGTTTAAATTTTAATTATAAATTATGATTAGATTATAAGCAAAGATGGATAGTGGCTAGCAGTAAAATCCAGGATGTGTTTCGTCATGTCTTTGAGGAATCGTCCGCTGGATGTTCCTGCATCACAGTAGCTTGGTGGATCAGAGAACGCGAGGGCATTTGAAGCGAATGGTACTGGGTTCGAGTCCCAGAGTGAACATCAACACGAAAGAATCCGCTGAGATTTTATAAATGCATTCTTCCTCTTTAATGTCTCAAATTAACTCGGTGCCTAAATACTGTGAAACTATTCAATCAAATTTAGACGAAAGTTCTTATGGATTAAGTTTACATTCAGCTAAGATACAAAACGAGTATTTCATAAATGATCTTGTTACATCCCGAAGAGAATAATGAATGGTAACTGTTGGAATCTATTTCTGGACTAATACTATACGTATATTTTTATCGTATAATTGTTAAGTATATAAACTATTCACATTCGTGTTCCTCGTATCATAAAATTTATTTTGACCTTTAGACCATTATTTTACGATCTACCATTCTTGAGTTATGCTATGTCTATCAATTACAGTCTCCCACATTCACAGCCACATTTGGTGTTGTTTTACTTGTATCTTCCCATTGTTATTTAGGACTGCAATTGGTCAGTCTCATGTTGGCATATGGGCACCCTGTGCGGATTGCCTCGATATTAGCCTTGTTGTTTCCTATTTTATGGTACGATGTAGTCTGTTTGCTTGGTATCTAAACCCAGTCATGTTTGAAATGCATGATTCATATCGCACAGGCTGAGATTGATGTTCTGGACACAACAGGCAGAGCTAAGCGGGAATTACGAATACTGTTAAGGACTCTAGACTGTTCATACTTGTTTTTGCATTATTGGTTCGGTCGATAAGCCACTATTCTCTAATTGGCGGGTATAGTTATGCGTTATACATTAATAGGACATAGATCACAAGTTACTCTAAACATAATGACATAATCTTTTCGATGAATATAATTAAATGACAATAGTATAATCAAATAACTTACAAAAAATGGTGTACAATGCCATAAAAATGATAAAGACTGAAGATATGTGAATTTTCGTAAATATTTAACTTCTTGATCTCGAATACGACCAATTTCTCTCATAAATGATGGTTCCCAAGCATAAAGTTTTAATACCTTTAAAATGGAAATAATCAACAAGAAGAAGAAAAAAAAATTAGTCTTTCACCTTGTTAAAAGGATTGAGAACCAAAAAAAGATAGATAATAATCTTCAACTACTGAAAAACTTCATAAATTCAGTGTGTTTTCTGAGCTATCAAAATGCTAGTAATGCAGAGGTTCGTCATCGTGTGTTCGGGCACAGAGATGATAATCCAGTTGGTGTCACCATCTTGAAACACCAACCTCAGTGGCTTGGATATGTTCTACGAATGTCGTCCCAGAGAATTCCACGTCATGCATTATTTGCCGACTCTGAGACTGGTTGGAAAAAGTGGAGAGGTGGTCAGTGTATGAAAGAAAGCTGTAAAGGGCTGGCTTGTGTTGGTTCTTCACGACTCCCTGGCTGGGGTCCTAGAGATGGTGCGTCACAGTGGCTAGAGACTTTATCAGATATGGCTCAGAATAGAAGTCAGTGGATATCCCCCTGTAACCTTCTTTTGCTTCATAGAAAGTGGTTGTATCTTCCTTAACTAAAAGATTTCTTCTGATTGTACCTTTCCATTTCCCCCATTATTATTTTTTTATTACTACTACACTACCTTACGCTAATATGTGGTCGTTATTGTTCTTTTTTCCTTCTTTTCCATAAACGCACCTTACCTACTTCTTTCTTTTCCCATTCTCATTGTTTTGTGTGGCGCATATATATTTGGTGCCCCCTTGTACTAATATTTATATGTTCAAATAAATAAGTGAATAAATCAAAATGAAACCAACTTCCACAACACTAACAACATTTGGAAAATATTACTTATACGAATGTATTCAACAGCATAAAATTCTTTCCTGAAATTGATTACCATATAGCAGATAACTAAATGAGATCATAATGTTCAACATTCAACTTTTACCAACAATAAAATATATTGGAGATATCAAGACATACAATGAAGCGTTCTATAAATGTCAGTAGGGTATTTCTAGTGAAAATGACATCCTGGAATATTATTCGAGAAGTCTCTGAACATTCGTATTGTGATAGTTATAGCTTATATTTACCAGGTATATAAATGAAACTCAAAATAAAGAAATCAAGGGAGGTCAGTTAGATTCACGCGTTAACCGGGACCTTTAAATTCAAGTATACGTTACTGACATTCTACACAGGCGACTAACAATGACCTAGAAGTTTGGTGAGATACCGAACACCCATGAGAAAGAAGCGATACTGCACGTTTAAAAGTTATCTTCGAAGGGTTTCTTGTATTAAACACAGGGAGTTGGTACACATAAAAAACAATTCACAAGTTCATTGACCTTCTAAATGTTACTCGGTGGAATCTGTTATTCAACAGTTTCCAGGTCCAATGGAAAACATGGAAGAAAAACGAAACAAAGTGCCACCATAAATGTCATAGATTGTTAATTTTATGAAACAAAATAACATTGTCATGAAAATAAACTTACTCGTATACCATTCATCAATTCGTTAATAAACTTTATTCGATTATCTGCACATGAAGACTTCTTCTCCTAAGTAAATATTATGATGTAAGAAAATTATTAGAAACATAAAATTCAAAGAAAGGATGAATTTTTTTCAACATTCAATACATTCACAGTATGCATCAGTAATTTTTCACGTTTCCAATGCCGCTATAAGCTGGAGGATAACTTAGAATGATACATACACATACTGTGTCCTACATTCAATATAACAGATAACTGAGTAACTGTAATGGGAGTCAGTACTATTGATGGGGAATTTTGGTTCAGTATCAGAGCAAAAAAGGGCAACACGATTCTTAAGCTGACGAAGTTTCGACACCATACTATGTAGAAAGCCAGTTCAAAAAGTTTACTTGATATAATATTTTCAATGTATCAATGTATTGAGATCGTGGTAGTGGAATCCACGGAGTGTGTTTCTTCCCAGTAAAGAACTCACAAGGTAGATGTACCAGCTGCATCGGGACTCCAATTCAATATCTATGAATGGATATTAACGCACTATACCCAGAGGTCCAGAGTTCAACTGGTTACTGAGTAGTTTAAAAGACATAAAGTTATTTGTGTGACTCTGTATTTCTAGTTTCGCTTGATTTTATAACTAACCAATATTCAAATATCCTAATACTTATAACTGACAAAAAAGAACACTAAAGCATTTGCTCAGGATCCACAAGCGCCGATAGGGACTGCTAAAAATTTAATCTTGAATATCAGCTGTTGAATAGCTCCCTTATTAGTCAAATAAACGGATAATGCATAATGACGTAATTAGCCTACTGAACAAAATAAATTCTCTACAATTATCAATATTTCTAGTCACTAAGTTATATGTAGTATTAAGTAAATAAAGATTCTTCATGGTATAAATTATTGCGACTTAAATGACGTAATAACTCTTGCTTTATGAAAAACACAAGCTTATAAAAAACCGTATTTCTGCCAACCACCCTATTAAACAACAAATATATTCAATTTAGTTGGAGAGTTGACGTGGAGACTGATTTTATTTGTGGGTTGTATTCGTCACAGATTAGTTTCTGTTGAGGTACCACTGCAAATCAGGAGTCACTGAACAATTCTAGACGCTTCATCAGTATGTACCCACACCACTTGTGACAGATACAGCCTGTAAATTAAACTAATATCCTAAACATTCCTTCCACTTAACTACTGTAGTTACCACATTTGTAACCCACTTAAAGAATTGCTTGAAGACCTACTTAAAATTTGTGACAAGTGGAGTTCAGAATGTCGAGAATGAAACAGTAGTAACAAATAGAACTTGATGGCTGTTGCTCAATATCACTAATCGATTGAAGTTGTAATTGTAAAAGTGGGCGCCGACCCATTGGCTCTAATGGTCAAGCATTTGCAGAGTGGAATAAAGTTCACGGGCACGATCCAAGGTGAGTACTGCTAAAGGGTCCCATGCTCAGACAAAACAGTTGTGTCAGTGCTCCCTGGTTTTCAACGCTACCTTAACTGAGACCAACCAGTGACGAAAGCAACCTATAAAAGTTGCGTACGTTGATAATGAAATTCAATATATATGCACGACGCGTTGAGTTTGATAACGTCGAAATGAGACGAATATTACCAGCACAACTGAATAATTGAAGCAGTATATCGCGGATAAACTGAACTTGATAATAAGGATCACTCGATTATTATAGTTTGATTCTCACCACCATTAGCACTCTAAAGTTCTGGGTTTAATACGTGGTAGGCTTGTGAGCGCATATTCTTGAGTAATAGTCATAACCTAGAAAACAACTACCCAATCTTCCTTGTTTTCAATAGTTCTACGGTTCAAATACAATGAATAGATAGAAAACTAGTCAGTGAAAGCTATACAATTAATCATAAACAACAAAGAGATTGCTATAGATGTATTTCGACCTAAGTTGTCACAACAAAGTAGCGAGATGAAGAATTAGTTCAAATGAAAGTAAAAGGTTTAAACATGGAGGATATAGAAGATGATAGAAGCAATCAGTTGGTAGAATAAAGTGTATGGAATAATAATATGGATCGAGATTGGAAAGAATCTATTTGCACTACTGCAATTGATTTTAAGTCGTATCATCAAACATTAACCTCCCAACTCCAATCAGATAATCTACTTCTACCAATACTCAATAGCTTCATAGATTGATCTCATGTTACAGTTCAGGGGATCATCGCTTTCTTTAAACCTAAACGTATTACAGCTAACCAGAAAACATAGTACACTGCAAAACCGATCGTTATTAAACACACTAGGTCTATAAGCCCACATGGGCTTAGACATTGAACGAACGACTACGTCATAACCTACTGCATCTACCAACGGACATGTTTGTTTGGGCATAAATACATGAGGAGGAATAATCGAACAATACAACCAAACGTTATGGAACACGTGCTGAAATGCCTTTAGGTTCAGTTCGTTGATAGCAACATATAATTGAGGTACGATATAGAGCTGACGTTAATGCGATTTTAAAAACATTGTATGGGTATTGTCAAGGGAGAAGTTTTAGATTTATAGTAGCCTTAGCTATTCGTAAATTCAAATCCCCATCATGTGTACATAATCAATTTGTCGTATTCCTGTCACATTCTCGTTCGGATAGTTTCAAAGTCTTTGTATGGTCTAGAGAACATCTTATTCTCTGAGGCGGCCTGCTTGAATATTTGGGCTAACATTGATAATAATAATAATAATCCATTACTTTATCTCTTTCTTTATTTATAGTTGTTACTTTGTCTATTTAAACCCTGAAGAAGTTCAGACAAGCTTGCTGGACGAAACGTTGGAATTTCTTTTCTAAATTTCAATCACTGAGATTATTTCAAATATAATAATCTTCACATATAATAACTTCTCCATATTTGGAGCCCAATTTTTTGTCAAACTATTCGTTCTAAACTTGATAAATATTCGCATGTACATGTCAAGTATATTCGACCAGATTATTCAAAATGTACAACCTAAATCAAATTTGTCTACTCACCATTCTATCAAAATAAACCACTGTTCAAACATAACATTCTAAAAAGGTTACTTAAATAGTGCCCCCAAATGCAATGGTATGGCCGAGGGTGGAGAGAGTCAGCTCTCGCTCTCTAAATGCTCTCACATGGCCAAGTCAATACAACCACTGACAGGGAAGTCCTACTCACTGCGTTCTTGCTGCATTACTGTTGTTTACGAAATTGAGAAGACGAAAAGCGAATGTCCGGCGATTTAACCAGTTTGATGGACACGGAAAGTCCATCTAGGGGAGATAGGAAACCCCCGTTCCAAACTAATGGTGCACATGGGCTACATATACCTGAAGTAACAAATGGCGTATGAACCAATTGTTGGTCACTGGCTACCATAGAACTGCATCTCCTGACGTTGCTCTACTGCCTTGTAGATCACACCTTCAGGTGGAAGGCTCTGTGTGTGGCCCCCTAAGAAAACCACCTGCTTCGTTTTGGGCATCTGGTCAGTGTCACAGCCCTCACACAAGTCGAATGACTTATGTAGCGCATATGTATTTGGTGCCTCCTTGCACCAATGTTTACGAGTTTAAATAATACATAAAAATAATTAATTAGTTATAAGCAGAGATGGAGAGTGGCTAGCAATGGAATACAAGACGCGCGTTTCATCCTATTTGGGACTCGTCAGTTGGATATACCTGCATCTCAGAGCTGATGTTCACTGTCTTGGACTCGAACCCAGTACCGTTCGTTCCAAACGACATCGCGTTATCCACTTAGTTAGTTAGTTGTAATACATATTAGGATGAATATTCAAAAAAAGAATATTGACCCTTTGTTACATAATTTTAGTAACCAAAAATCATTTTAATCATAGTAGTTAGTGATGACAATTATGAATAAATACTGTCTCACCTACATTTTGTAATGTAAAAAAACAACAATCTAATTACATCGAAATACATTCATCATTCAGTATTTTAATAATAAAAAAAGAGTATTTCATTAATTGACCTTTTTATGATGTACTGTTTCAGTTTGGACATTGGGACAGTAACACAACCCACACACAAATCAAGTGACTTGTATGGTACACATATGTATTCTGTACCCGTTTGCACCAATATTTAAGTGGGACAAAAATATATTAGTTGATTAAAGCTTATTAGTGATGATCATTCATTCATTCATTCATTCACTAAACATGTTAGGTTGAATGTGAGGTGATATTAGGTAGACAAATCATTAAAATATGTATCATATGAATTGGGGTCATGTTGACTAGGAGAGAGAGAGAGAGAGAGAGAGAGAGAGAGAGAGAGAGAGAGAGAGAGAGAGAGAGAGAGAGAGAGAGAGAGAGAGAGAGAGAGAGAGAGAGAGAGAGAGAGAGAGAGAGACATTCGTTATACTCACATTTGATTTTGATTTTGTCAATTTGAATAAATCGTATGAAACAACTGAGTTACATTCACAAATGAAAGAGATATATTTTTTTTTAAATGAAATCATGAATCCATTGAAGCTAGACCATTATTGAGAACCTGGAAACAGTAAATGGTCGTCTCGCCCTGAGATTCTTCACCAGTACGAATTAACAACCTTGCACACAGAAAATGAACTGAGAAACTTTAGTCTCGAGCGCAAACGCTTAAACTGTAAACAACTGAGTCAGCATTGAACAGTGTTAATATCTAACCTCAATCAATCTATGAGTTTATGTGGAGTTGTGAGTGTTAAGTAGTCCTATATTGAATTGTTTCTTGATTTTAAACCATTGTCTAACCAAAGTGAGTTTATAATGTGAAACATTCTAATTTTATAATCACCACAACACCATACAATATAGAAAAAAATAGCAAAAATGGATCCAGTAGGATGAACCAATAGCCATGTATTAAGCACAAATTTGTTTTGGTAAATTAATAATTCATATTGCTACTTTGACATTAAATGAGTTACAATTAATCAACTTACTTGAAAAATTTTTGATCGACGTGCTACCAAAACATTAAGTGGTAAAAGTAACAATAGAACACCGACACCAGCCAATACAGAAGGTCCTAATTCTCTCCATAGAAATACCATAGCAATTGTTATTTGAAATGGTCCTGACCATAGAATATTTATAAATGGCATTAATTGGACAAATTGTTGTGCATCAGATGACATTAAATTCATAATCTGTCCAGTAGTTGATTGATATCGAGCTTTATTACTTAATCGTAGACTCTAAAACAGAATAGGAAAGAGTTTTCAGTATGAAATTTCTTTTATACTACAGATTAGCCATAGACAGAAAACTCTCGAAAACTAAGAAATGTTATAAAGTTTTTCATTATTGTATGAAACTTCTAAACACTACCCACCATTCAAGACCCTATAAATGGTCGAACCTAGGACTAAAAAACAATTATCATTGAGAAATTTATGGATTTGAAATAAACCATCATGTATGAAAAGTGTAAGTAAGTTGTACATGATTTGGCTATGATTAGATGCTTGACTTCGTTATGGATCGAAACATTGAATTCGATTCCTAGTTCAAAAGAGAATCCCAAACATTGAATTAATCACTTATATTCAATTCACTTCATATAATGTATGAATATGAACTTACTTTTCTGTATACAGCTGCAGTAATTGCTGTTTTAATATTCATACCAAGTTTGAATACAATATGAAAGTAACTTTGTAATATTAATGATTGTACAGATGTATCAATAAATATTGCTATAGCATATAAATAACCATGCCATATTGGTTCTGATTGAGTATTTTGTAGAAAATTCAATAATAACCTATAAAACATTTTACAACAAATAATGATAATAATAATAATCGGGAAAAGACAAATAAGGGATGAAAGAATTGCACTTCAATAACTATAATTGGATGTTAGGCAAGTGAATAGGCTATCATCAATGGGATGTGGATAGTCTAACTTTAGCGCTAGTTGCTACTTGTGAGTATGACAAACCTATATCACCCAGTTTAAAATGGCTCCATAACTCTCAAAGGGTGAAGATATATTTTAAACTGGTCATTTTTCGGATTATTAATTTGGATATATAATTGTAGAGTCTAAAGAGAATTTATTGAAAAGAATATTCTTCGTTCAAATACTAGACTTTCAATATATTTTACTGTCAAGTTCCAAGTAGCACAAAGTCATCGGAGTAATTGAAAGAGAGAGAGAGTGAGAGAGAAAACTGAAGAAGTTCAACCAGCTCTAACTACTACCATGTCTAGAAAGTTGAAAGTATCTTAAACAGTCATCCTGTTGATAACTAATAAAGAATGAAGCCAAACACAAGTTTTCATTAGTACTAGAGAAGTATGATGAATATGGATAGCACAAATAACATGTAGTTACGAACACTAATCACCAATTGATTAAATGTGATCATACGAAACTGTGTGTTGTCACACAGAGGAATGATACTATTTGTAATTTCTCTCTAGTCTAACACTTTTCTTATCAATTACAACTTCAGTTATGTAGTAACAGTTCTTACTATAAACCGAATTCACATAAAGGACTGCTGTTGTTATTGTGATTGGTTTTGAGCCCGACCGTTGTTGCTACCTTGACATGATGGACGAGCTTGCCTATCGTGATGAAGAAATCGAGCTAAACTGGCTGAAACAATCGTTCCTCAAGGTCCTACCATGCCAGACGGGTCGGTTGAAGAACGATACAACTAAAAGCAGCAAACCCAACGTCTGAAAGCAAAGTCGTACTGCTGACTGCACAGAGGTGTAACGGTAGTAAGGTGTTTGTTTCCTTCAGACAACCAGTATAACAGCGATGCTTCTGGATATCCGTCTCCGGCGCTAAGGTCTCAACAAGTACGGAGCTAACACGAAAACTACTCATAAAATGGTCGTGTGTGACCGACCTCAAGCAGTTGTCCCTTGGGTATTGTGGTCACGTTCTCAGATCACTAAGACCACCTCTAATTCAATTTCATTTTCAGATGCCTCGAGAAGAAACCTTCCACGATGTGGGCAACCGGGAAGTGATAACCACCCTCAAACCTGTAACAGCACTCAAGACCACTGTATCAAAAACGAATAGTTTGAAATATATTTACCAGTATATACAAACTGTCTACGTCCAATGTAGAAGTGAAATATTTTCAGATATTTTACGAGGATTTGTCATTTCATATTTACATATCATAACTGAATTATTAAATAATTTAATAAAGTGAATAACCTATATTAGTTCAGTTGATTTCAATTAGCAATAGCCAATGTCCACTATCAAGATATATTCAACAATAAATATTCAAGATTGAATAGAAAAGTGTTATAAATCTAATCCTTGAATGTTTAAATGATTATGATCAATCAATTTAAACATTCATAATGATTATAAGATTATTTACAGAATTCGTTTTAATCTACCAAGATTTATTCTGTTTCAATAGTTGAGATCATGAGTCAATTGGAGCTAGACCATCATGGAAAACCTAGAAGCACTGGATGGCCGTTTCGTCCCAGTATGGGACTCCTCCGCACTGCGCATCCACGATTCCGCCTCGCGGGATTCAAACCCAGGACCTATCAGTCTCGCGCCAGGCGCTTAACCAACTAGACCATTGGGCCGGCATCCAACGGGCTTAATGTCTAACTTCAACTAATCCACGAAATTGAGCGACATATCCACCATTGTCATCAGTGAGTTACTATCTCACAACTGACCCATGGTGGTCTAGCTTCAAAGGACTCATGATTTTCAACTGTTGAAATTACTACAATCTCCACAAAACCCACTTCTGATATTTATTCTATTATTTTAACCTTTTTAACACTTACATCTTGATAATTCATGAAATGAGAACTATCATACGTAGGTCTTAACAGAATTATTACTATTATATTCTATATATGAATGTTATTTTTATTCATGTTTATTACCAGTATTATTTTCACATATTTTGACAAATATTACCTTTAAAAGTGGGATGATACTTTATAAATATTATTACAAATAGGCCCCGAATACATATGCATCACAAAAGTTAATTGATTTTTTTAGAGGACTGGGATACTGCTCGGATGCCCAAACCGAAAAAAGTGGTTTTATTAGGGAGTTAAAAACCTGAAACCTTCAACCTAAAGGTCTAATCCACAAGGTGGAGTGGAGCAACGTCAGGAGATCCAATCCCATGGTATCCGGTGTCCAATAATAGGTTCATATGCCATTTGTTTCATTAGGATCCTGGAGCCTGTGTGCACTATTAGTTTGAAATCAGGGTTGTTCAACTTCCCTAGATAGATCCCCTATAACCATCAACCCGGTTAAAGCGCTGGACATTTGATTTTTGTCCTCTCAATTTCTTAAACAACAGTTATGCCACAAGAAGGTTGTAAGTAGGAATTTCCCCTAAGTGACTGTATACGCGTGGCTATACGATAGCATTTCGAGAGAGAAAGAGCTGACTCTCCCCACTCTCAGCCATACTAGGGCATTTAGAACCATTAGAATAATATAATCTAAGTTAATTAAGTGTAAGTCGATACTGTAGTGTCGGTTTCTATGTTAAGCCCATATACACTTTATTCTAGCTTTCGGACAGCCCATTCTAGTTGAGTCACATTTCGACCTTGTTAATTTATTCGCTTATCAACCTTGATTGTTTTTATATGGGTGCATATATCTGTGTACACTTCCTATCCTATTCATCACATGTCTGTAGCCTATTTTTGTGTAACTATAAATATTGATTAACTCTTGGTAAAATGAGAGTTGGCTTACCAGCCATCTCCACTCTGCATCGTTTCTCTTCTCTCTATTCCATTCGCTTTATATACAAGCTATATGTATTCAAAAGTCCATTCTCGTGTTATTTGATTCCGTTATTGACTAAGGCGATTTAAGTCGATGAATATATATACAAGGATAGGTAATAACAAACATTCATTACGATCTAATTGGAGTCAAATACACGGGCAACTAAAGTGCGGAGCCCTTTCGACAACATCATCCGACAACAAAACAAAAGGGCCCCACAATACAATTCATAAATGTAAATGATTCAAAACAAAATAAGACAAACCCCATTTCACTTACTTTAATAATAATGGATTAACAAATACTAATATATCATATAAAAATTTTAAAAATGCTGACCATAATAATGTTTTCCCATAAGTTTTCAATAATGCATATAATAAACTAAATTTCATTTTATGAATACAAATAATAGAGAAACAATGACATGGATATGATGATGACAATGAAGATGATGAGGATGAGGATGATGATTTCATCATTATTGGATTAATTTGATTGATTTCAATCGATTTATTTAATTCATCATTTGTAGTAACAGTTTTCCCTTTAATTAGATGATTGTTTGATTGATCATCGATAGGTGATTTATGATCGATCTCTTTCATAAAGAATTCGGACTATAAAGAAAAAAGAAAAAAAGAAAAACAAAGTTGTAAACATACATAATTAGTAATTCATAATAAATATTTATTATTTATTTTAACACATAAACATTGGTACCATGAGGCACCAAATATATATGCGCCACATAAATCTCATTTAATATGTGTGAAGGCTATGATACTGTTTTGGTGTCCAAAACGAAGCAGGAGGTTTTCTTAGGAGGCCACAACCGGAGCCTTCGACCTGAAGGTTTGATCCCCTAGGTGGACTCTCCGTGTCCACCAACCCGGTTAAAGCGTCGAACATTCGCTTTTCGTGCTCTCAATTTCGTAAACAACACCCCCACCATGAGAAGGCAATGAGTAAGACTTTCCTGGCAGAGGCTATATACGCGTGGCCATGTGAGAGCATTTGGAAAGGGAGAGCAGACTCTTCCCACTCTCGGTCGTACCAGAGAATTTGGGGGCAAGATAGCCCCCGAATTAATAATAAATGGGGAAAATTTACATTTTAAGCAAATGAATATAATCCCGTATTAAGATGAAATACTTGTACAATGATTCCTAGTTTCTAATGATGGTTTAATTAAGATCACTTTATGATATTAACAAAGAAATATAAATGTTTATAAGATATTTATTTATTAAGAGATAGATAGAATGTTGTTAGTAGTGAAATACAGAATATACGTTTCATCTTTAATTTGGACTCATCAAAAAGATAAATCTACATCTGAATTGATATTCAGTTTGGATTTTGAACTCAGTATCATTTCGCTTCGGACATTCGATACAACTTAATTGATGAGCTCCATATAGGACAAAAACACACACCCTGAATTCTACCTGCTAGCTATATTGCATTGATAAAAAATGATTTTATCAATAGTCCACATTACAAACTTATGTTAAAAATGGAAATTGGTTATGGTTAAAAAGAGTGTAGTTTTGTGCTTTCATCATTATGAATAACTGCCTATTATGAGTATCTTCACTACAGAAACTAACTAGTATTATAGAATAATTTATATATGATTGCTAGTAACTACAACACATTCATTCATAACGAAAGCTACTAGAAGTATAATTTTTAGAATGAAGATACAGCTATTTGTCGTAGAAAGAAATCCATCCATCAAGCTGATCGACAGTGACTAATCCAAGACACAAGGGTAAAAGGGATACATCTTTCTAGTTAATCATAACCAAAAAACGATGCTCAAATTGATGACCTCATACCATTCAAATAATATCCATTTATTTAGTAATTCCAATTATCCTTTGTCTTCATAAAATGACTCCAGTTTATATGTACGACCAAATTCACAATGGTTGGTAAGATTTTTACCATAACTATGTGTCATTGTTCCAATACAGTAACCTTTTATTTCATTAATTAAAATATTGCAAACATATTTGTTATTAGCTAAATTCATTGTATTTGGTGCCATCAATACATCTCTATATAGGATACAGTTTTTACCTTAGTTACAAATTGGCTATCCAAAGATATCGAAACTAAAAGTATTGTGTTGTATTATTTAAAATGTAAGATTTTATAATAAGGAGAAACTGTTCTTGACTGTCTACTCGTATTACTCAGTGAAATATGTCAGTTAGTTCAAGGCGTCTTAGTAGATATTTGAACATGTAACTCATTGATCAAAAATTGAATTGTTGCTAACTCCGCTTGGATTCCCTCCCGGGGGGAGCTACTGCCGGTCCCAAGCCCAGATAAAGGAGGAGGGTTTGGCATGGGGTTAGCAACCCCATCCCGTAGAAAACTAACTCGCTAAAAAACGCTAATTACAAAGCAAACATTTATTTACATTCCTTTGTATTAGAATGATTGAGATTACAACTAAATGAAGTAAAACATATGGAATCTAGTGTAAGACCTTATTAA